ATATCGAAATCTTTTGAAATTTGAAACAAACCCCTTTTGTATTGATGATAAGCAAGGGTTTCTTAATCCACACACAAAGTTTAAGGCTGGGTTTATTTTTGAACCAGTATCGAGTGGTCGGAAATTACAGAGACGGACTCTTAAGTTGGTATATCTACTGATATAGCATATAGCCATCCAGTATAATTTACAGTCCCTTACCTGAAGATCCGTCAAAACCTGTCTAACACCACTCATTATCTACTGAACTAAGTTAGACCTGATCCAACATCTTCCATGATTACAATAACATCACCGAACATAATATTCGAGCTGGCCCAATAATGTAGGAAAATGTTGAACACCTTAAGGTTGGATATAGTTTCAACTGGCCTTTAATTAAGTTTAAAAAAAATTGTTGTACCTTAGATTCTCCACGGCAAGCAACAGCGCTTGTCACGTAGCTGAAGAGTAACAGTGATACAATCATGACGGGATAGACTACATTGAATAACTTCATTATTACGGCATACTGCGTTCGGCTCATACCACCAAACGGCCGCCAAGCAATCTACAAGTATAAATTCAAATCAATGAATTATATAGACTGAGAAACATTGGATGGAAAAATAAAAAAATAACGTAAACATGCAGTGTAACAATTTACGAAATGTTCGATTATTTTTAACATTAATAATTAACATTTTAATTTAATTTATTATATATAGCGAGTGTCAAAGTTCAATTTTCCTGTTTGTCGATTGGTCAAAACCATATCACGTCCTTGAAGAATATTTGAATTGAATTTATTAAAAATCCTAATGGCAGCTAGCAGCTGAATTGTACTGAGTTCACATTTAAAATACATGGTAAAAGCTAATCGTAAATAATATTACCACGGGCAATAGGAAAGGTGTAGTGTTGTTAAATAGAAAGTTAGAAATGGTATTATACTTACTCATGCATTATAATTATGTTTAAAAGATCAGAATATTCATAATTTCTTATTTTGTTTCATAAATAATTCTTTAATATTCGAAACAAATTCCACTTCTGCTTCGTCTGCCATCACCATGTTTACTCGTCCCAATCTACACGCTGCACGGCATTGCCGCCCCTCCTGGCAAGATAATAAGCAAGCGAGAAAAATTAAGGAGAAAATAAGAGGGTAGGAACATCGTTGTCATAAGCTGGATGCAGTGACACTTCCATATATGGCACAAACGTATCCATAACTTCCATATATGGCACAAACGTATCCTCGACAATCCTCGACGCGTTTTAAAACGTTTTATTTGACGTAGGGATGACGTAATGCTGCTTCCCGCCTATGACGATTTGAATTAGTCATGTGATACAAGATTGCGAAAGCCGATTCGCCCAGAACGATGACACACCCACGAAACGCCCACAATGTTCCTACCCTCTTATTTTCTCCTTAATTTTTCTCGCTTGCTTATTATTTTGCCAGGAGGGGCAGCAATGCCGTGCAGCATGTAGATTGGGACGAGTAAACATGGCGATGGCAGACGAAGCAGATATGGAATTTGTTTCGAATATTAAAGAACTATTTATGAAACAAAATAAGAAGTTATGAATATTCTGATCTTTTAAACATAATTATAATGCATGAGCAAGTATAATACCATTTCTAACTTTCTATTTAACAACACTACACCTGTCCTATTGCCCGTGATATTACTAGAAATTATGTTAACAAAGAATCGTTATATGCGGATAAGGGATAAAGTATTTTACGAAATCTATAGTAGTTTTAAAATGAATTAATTAGTTAATATGGTGATCATTGCATAGGCTATAAGTATGTAATTACGTAAATATTCACGTCTATCAGGGATAAGACTGTTTAACTTATGTTCTGAATTAAGAAGTTTCTTGAAATATGATTTATATAAATTATTTCTTCTCTGAGAAAGAAACGATATGTCATTAACTTCTAAAGCTGTGGGGTATGATAGGTTAAGACATATACGTAAGGTTAGGACATATATGATGTAAGGTTCGTTTGTATTCTTTCAATCTCTCCTTTAAATAATCAGGGGAGTTGAAATTCCAAACTTGACATGCATATTCAAGCACAGGCCGAATACATGTAGTATATACTTGAATATACGGGGATATATGTTGGTCTTTAATAAACAAAGGTCGAAAATTAGATATGTCTTTAACAAACGAAATAATTAGGTCCTTGCACTCGGAGTGGCTAAGCACCATATAATTTTCCGTGCACCATTGATCAATTTCATTAATGACGGATTGCAGGTTACTTTGACAACCTTTCCCGATTGTTTTAGAGACTACAGTGTCGTCAACACATTTCCATCTGTCTTTATGATTAATAGCCAAGTCATTGACCATAATTAGGAAGAGGAGTGGGCCAAGGATTGCACCTTGCGGGACACCTCCATTCACCAAGGACCAATCAAATAATGTAGAACCCAGTTTCACCTTCTGCCTTCTTTGCGTCAGGAAATCAATGACCCAGTTTATTAAGGATTTGTCGATATTAAGTAATAAGATGCATCTTTTTTATCAGAATTTTATGGTTGATTCTGTCAAATGCTTTGCTGAAATCAAGCAGGAAGCCAGGAAAACACGAACAGATTCACCATTGCCGTCGGTGTTAGAACACCAACAATGGAACATGCTGATTACTGCGTCTACTGTAGAACAGCCTTTTAAAGATCCGAATTGCATTGGGTCCAATTTAGGATAAATGGCGTCCATAACCCATTGAAATGGGAAGGATTCAATAATCTTTGACAGTGTTGCAGTTAGAGATATGGACCGTAGGTCTGAATGTATATCTGTGACCAGGGGTGTCTTAGAGACAGGAATAACATTTGTTTCCTTCCACTGTTTTGGGATCTGTGCTTGGTTAATGGAAGGATTATAGATAATTGTCACAGGTTCCGAAACTCTACTGAAAAACTATTGAGAATCCAATTTGGCAGAGAATCTGGACCTGGGGCTTCATTGGATTTAACCGCTTTAATGCGCGATTCAGCATCAACAACAGAAATGCATTATGAGACACTACAGTAGGTTCCTCTGCAGATAATTTATCCGTATAGAAGAAAGTGACGGCAACGATTTAGTAGCAGCTAAAAAACCGTCATTAACAGCGAGTGTAAAGCCCCTTCCCTGCAAGATGGTTCCCTCGACCTCCGCGGAATAGAAGTCCCGCTTTAAAGAATAGCCAGTCGAAATCTTATGGTACCTTTGATCTTTAAAATTATTGTCACATTTGCGATGGTTTAGAACTACAGTAGGCTATATTAAAAATGTGGTGTAACACAAATTTAATTCTGTTTTTGGAAACTTGTTTCCCATATACCAGTTTCACTGCCTGGCATGAGTTAATCCTGCAACAAGGCATGATCTTGTTTTACCCGTAATACGTCTACTGAATAAATCAGTCTTATGTTATGAATCGTCTGACAACACTCACAACAGTGCAATTTTACAGACAAAATTAAAGATTAATCAAAATGCCAACATGACGTCCAGCACAAAATTCTCACTCATTAATTATGAATTTCAGTGGTAATTCTTTGTTACGCGGAGTGCATGGCTTGATTCAACGCCAAGGCAGGAAGTTGTATTTTGATACTTTCTCAACAAAACCTTTGCCATTATACGATCAGACTGTGGAGGCTTCGATGGCGCAGTCGTCAGAGCAAGCACCTTTCACTACCTACCTAGAACGTGGCCTCGTTTCTCGCTAGGGACATATACGAAAAGAGTCTGTCAACGCTCTGCCGAAAGTCGATGATTTTCTCCGGGTGGTCCGGTTTCCTCCCGCAGGGAAAAGTGGGTATCACAATTGTTGTAAAGTTAAATAGTCCAGACCAAGTAAGTACTGTAATTAGGTCAGCGCATTTGATGATATCCACATGTAAATTTGCGCTATAGAAACGTTAATCGTAATCGTGATTGCGTTGCTGTTAGTAAGTTCCATCGAAGGCGCTCATGTTGAATCCATCGAAGGCTGCCATGTTGAATCCCAAATAAATGCTGTATTCTTAATGACGTAATTTTCTGAGCCGCTGATTGGCTACAAGCTAACAGCTAACAAGACGATAGCAATATACAGTATCTGCGCTAGCGCAAACACAAAAATTCAAACAACTTTGTTTGAATTAACAGCACCTTGTTCTCGTTGCTAATAATTTTGCAAAACCGTATAATTAAAGACTTGGAAAGGTTGTATTATAACTGTGATGAAAAGTTCAAAAGTGGCATTGATGGACAAAAATCCAAACAAACAATTAAAACAACTTTATTCTCGATATTCTGAGTTGCACAAAAATATCCTATTTAATATATCAATAGATATAAACATATCCATACATAATCTCCATACAGTTATACCTAAGCAGTCAGTGTAGAAATACGCGAGGCGAGTAATGTGAACACAGTTATATCTCAGTTATTTGCATCAACTTATACTTGAAAGTTGACTGGATATTATTAGCGCACGCGTTGCGCATATACTCTCGTCAGCTCTCACCATAATTTGAACCATCTCAAAATTGATGAGATTTGATGAGTGCGTGTGGTCAAACGATCGAAGCTAATTAAAAGTATGGTACTTACAATTCCAAGCAGTTTGTAAAAGGGAATAACGATTTGTTTCTTACAGCGCAAAAGAGAAACCGTTGTTGGATTGAGTGAACCATGCGTAATTTGAACCAAGCTGTTATCACGAATCTATAAAATAATAAAAACTCACGATCTCGCACAGAATTGAATTAATTAATTGCTGTAAGGAGATTGAATTTTCGCCGCTTACAGTATACGACTGACAGCCAAATTCTGCATGTACGAGAATTTGTCATAATAACGTAGATATACATGTTGTATATCAGTATATGTCATGTAGAATATACGAACTAACGCTTGTTCGTATTCGATATTCACAATTTTGGATAAATAATATTCACTACTGTATGTAGCCAAACTGATGATTTCAGTTCACGGAATAATAGAAATATACGTGTGGATGTCTTTTTTATTCCTTTTATCGGTTTTATTATGATATGGAGAATTATTAAGCCCCGAGTTTGTGTTATACCAACCTTAGCCATTGGCATTGGATGATAACACAAACTTCGGCCTGGATAATTCTTCATATCATGCTCAATCTCACTGAATAATTGTTAAGTATACTGTAGTTCATTTTACCGGTGGACAATATTTCAAAATGTTCAAGGGAGACTGTAATTTTTTAAAAATGTTGGAAGCGAAACCAGGATTCATAATTAATTGTGTAAACGTTCTCTGGTTAAAAAAGATTTATTTATTAACAAGCTTTCGACTGCCAGTCTGCAGTCTTCGACGGGTAGATATATAATGTGCTAGTGATATAAGATATGATACAGAGTGAATAGTGCTATACAAAAGCGGTTTACAATTACATTTACTGACAAAAGACAATTACTGACAGTTCCGCCTGCGTAAATATATTGTGTAGAATTTAAAGTTTTTTGAGCAAAAAGCGATATTGTTCTGGCAAATGTTTTGAGTTTATAACAACTGATAACAACTCAAAACAACGCTGATAACAACTCAAAACATTTGCCAGAACAATATCGCTTTTTGCTCAAAAAACTTTAAATTCTACACAATATATTTACGCAGGCGGAACTGTCAGTAATTGTCTTTTGTCAGTAAATGTAATTGTAAACCGCTTTTGTATAGCACTATTCACTCTGTATCATATCTTATATCACTAGCACATTATATATCTACCCGTCGAAGACTGCAGACTGGCAGTCGAAAGGAGACTGTAATGTTTATCAGGAGCATTTGACAGGTTATATTACTATTGTATGTCAATATTGTAGCGGTCAATAATTAAGTTACTATAGGCAAAGACACGCTGATATATGTAGGAAACTAGTCAAGACTACAATTAGTAAACCCTAACCTTATTTCATGGGTGGATTTCTCTCAGTAGCGGATGTATGTTAATTAAACAGTTAATTGATATTAAATACTACTCTCCAAAATAATGGCAAAATTTTCAGTCACTGTGCCAGATTTATAACCATATCATGATCATTATGGCAAAACGGTACACAGGCCCTGCATGTTTTTGATGGTCAGACGCTTTTTCGGGTTTTTTATTTAGTCACTTATATAGTTCATCCAAAATATTTAATGTACAATAAATAAAATAAACTATATTATTTAACAAGACTAGGAGCCTACTGGAAACCATATAGGTTCCATTTAATACCCCTACTCCCCTAGACCAACTAACTAATGAGCAGGGATGACAAATATTTTTCTTCCTGTGAGCACTACCTAAAGATAAAAAATTCCCTGCACAATAATTTTGTGTCAAATATATGTAGCAATACGGTAATTTCCTGCAGCTGAGGCCTGAGTGTATAAAATTCCCTGCGAGCACTTGTATGCTACATATACATTTTTCCACTCCTTCTAATAGGATAATTAATATTGTGAGCAGTGCTGTAAGTAACTTCGTTACAAGTAACGAAATTACAAGTAATCGTTACTTTTTGAGTAACTGTAACGGTAACTAGTTACCTTTAAAAATAAGGTAACTGAAACTGTAACGAGTTACATTTTGGCCTAAAATGAAACGATAACGCGTTACTTTTATAGCCAACGTTTACGTTACTTTTTTCGTTACATTCTTGTGGTTAAAACTTACAATTCACCTCTCAGTTCTCGAAATTCTCCTCACGGTTTTCTACGACAACGCATGCTTCAGTGCTTAACACAGCTGAGAGATCCATTAGTGGTAAGGTTACATAACGTTTACAAATAATTAACGTCAATCTGATGACCACTAATCATTAAGTTGAAAAAAACTGGGTTTTTTCTTACTTGAAGTAACTTGTAACAAGTTACAAAAATATTGAAGTAATTTTGTAACGGCAGTTTTGTAACTTTTACCAGTTACTAGTTCCTTTTTTGGGAATGTAACTGTAACAGTAACTAGTTCCAAAAAATGAGTAACTTTTACAGCACTGACTGTGAGGCAATCTTTCTACAGTATCTATTCTTCCTTCCTTCCTAGAAAGCCTTACTGGACCCCAAAACTTACAAAGGATGTAATGATAAAAGCATTGGATGCACAAATGTACTGGGGGTCAGAAAGGCCCAGTGGCCAGAAAGGGAGCTAAGGCTGAAGAAACATATGAAAAAATGGAATATTATAAAATAATTGGGATGTGTCAATTGGATACTGTTTTGCGACGCCATCTAGCATTTACATCCAACTTTCCTGGATACAGGATGGTACCGGATAGTGGAGTATTACAGGACACTGATTAGGGAAACATGGCATACAGTATGGTAACCGGATTCCAGATAACAAGCAGATACCAGATACAAATGGCGATAGTTAGACAATACTTGACTATTTTTACCCATAATATAGTTCATGGTTTACTGTACTCATGTACATCTTAATATTTAAATATTATGACACAGGAGTCGGCAGGCAATCTACAGCAGAGAGACATATAATTGTTCCTGTTTCACAATTTTGTAACAGACAAATAAAACATTTTTTCCGTTCAAATAAAATGTCTATATTTTACCAGATACTGTATCAGATACTGGTATACAGAATCTGGCACATCCCTATAAAATAATCATCGTTCTTCAAATTTGTTGACTATGGTATTGGTATCCAAGATGCTGTAGGGGAAAGCACTGAAACCAATCATGTAAATCCCGGGGGAGGGAGGTGCAGTCAAGGGGTGGGAAATTAGCCTTTCTCATGATGACGAATATCCGCCATTTTTGGGTAGTATCTAATTCTTGTTAACCAATGCAGGCAATTAAAACAAAGCAAATTTACCATCATTTGTCCAAAAAAATATAAAAAGTCGCTGTTATGTAGACTTACTGTATCTTGCAGACTTCGGCTGAAAAGCCACCAAAAAATGGCGGCGTGAGAAAGGCTAATTAATAAAAATTGAAGTTTGAAGTGCAATTCCTGTGGGTGGCAGGGGTGGATCTAGGGTACGTCCAATCAGTCGCGTTCAACTGACATATTTTTTTGCCAAGAAACAATTCTTTGTTATCTCGAAATTTGAATAATTAATTACCTTTGCGATTATAATATGAAATTCATATCATAGTCCAGTTTATGAGATCAGTTTTAAAACAAACAATATGCTTTATCTATAGAGCAGCGGTAAAATGTAAGAATCTCACAGAATCAGGTGGCCTATCCTGCTCATTTGATTAGTCAAGAGACCATTTGGACTGATCTGTGGGGTGGTCGGACTGGACAGATTTGCACCTAATTTGCACCCTAGTGAATCTAATTCAATCCAAGGATAAATGTCTGGGAGAAGGCACATTTGTGAGATCATAAAAAATCATGTGCTAGATGTACTTTGTAATCTGTGGAATTCTACAAAATCACATCGCCAAAATGCTTGAAATCACATTTCCCTGGACTTTAGAGCATGCAATAATTCAAGATTTTTAGTCGTACCTGACTGGTATGCCAATGGTTGTTGCAGCATACTTGCGCTAGTACAAACTCAATACTCATGTGTATACTTAGTCTTTAAAATAAGGTTCATAAAGTACAGGTTTCTGAAAAGTATGTCCAGACTACGAGGTAGAAAAAGAAGCACAATTTATTGCACATACAAACAATCGACTCCAACGTTTCCAATCATGCTTAATGCCAAGATCTCAGACATACCAACTAAATTACGGTGTTGAATAACTTTGGGCTTGGAAAGGTCGTGTATGTGGTACCAGCAAAAAGTAAGTACACAGATAGGAAGAGTTCCGCGTACCTACGTGGTACGTGGCTGAAGAAGAAGTACCAGACCGTAATATTGATTCCACCAACCCGGTGGATCCTGGGAACGATGTTCCTAGAAAATTTTTTGATTGCTAGAAAGGATTTTCAATTTTCTTTGGCCCAGCAAGTTTTGAAAATTCTTAAAAAGTTAACAGGATTAACAACAGTCGATCATCAGTTTTTTCAACTTGTCGTTAAATACCTTAAATTTAAATCATCCATTTATTTTTGTACTGCCTCAACTGATAACTATAATACACCGAATAAAGTATCCACACTGCTAACATCTCCAAATTACGGGCACTTGTGCATGTGTCGATCATCTCTACTGGCGAAAACAATGCTAAATGTTTTAAAATAATGTATTCCTTGCAATATAATAAATAAAATATAAATAATAATGGTATCTCAGTCTCTTAAATTCACTATAAATAAATCCATGCTTAAAAATAAATAAATCAAGTTTAGTGTTTCGCTTGCAATATTTTTTGAATAGTTTCCCTGGGTGCACGTTCCACATTCCACAACATAGTTGTCATAGTATAAGAAAATGTAGCAGGGTTGCATGAAGCAGTTCTAGTGTGACAAGTGAGACTGTCACTCTGAAATACAGAGTGTTACAATTACATTAGTCAATTACAGTATTAAGTTCCAAGTGCCAACTTTCAAATGTCAAACTACGCAGTAATAAACGCTTATAAGTTATAAGTATAACTGTAATAAGCTATTACGTATAAGCGTTTATTACAAGTTAATTTGAAATGCTAAAACCTAAGTTGCTAATTAATGTTAGTAACATAGAATTAATTAATATTATCCAATATCCAATTTATTGATTAATTGAATAAGAGTGAAGTTAAGAGCTGTGAAGCACAGTTAAAGCCTAACAGCTGTAAGCGTCAAAATTTAAGTACGGTTAAACCAACTAAATTTTATGACAGTATTTTCAAAGAAAATATCCCCCTCATGGCCTAATTAAATTTGATGACAGTGTTTTCAAAGAAAATATTTCCCCCTGGCCTGGGATCCAAGAAAGCCTGGGATCCAAGAAAGGCTAGAATAATTCATTTCAAGGTCTGGCACTTTACTCCTTTAGAGTTCAAAATCTTCAAAGAAGACACCTGGATCCCCTACCTGGGAAGATGAATATCAATCAAGTATGTCAGATTAAATCCACATACACTTACAAAAATCCTACAGAACAACCATTCTTGGCAGCAGATTATAATTTAAAGAGCATCAGAACAAATTTGACCTTTAGGGAGCACTCGTTTTTTAGCTGGGGGGGCAGAGGAATTTGGGGGTGGGTCAGCCAATTTCGTCATGCTTCAAAGGGGTGGGTCTTTTTAAAGTTTTGGTATAAATGGAGGGGGTCATAAAAATAATCAGTGAAAAAGTCACCAATATAATTTTATAGAATTTGGAAATATTTGGATGAAGAATGGTAAAAAGGTCTAGAAACTATCTCGTCATCTTTAACAAAGAAGCAAAATTCATTTGATGGTCTTTTCACACAGTCCATAGGAAAACGTTTCCATGACTTTTGTCATTTGGCCTCGTTTTTATCCGTTTTTGTGTGAAAACATGAATGAAAGAAAACGCAGGACCGTAGCATGATTTCAAAATCATGCATGATTTCAAGGTCTGCATGCATTTCATCACGACCATTATCAATTTTAAGCTTTATTAATTTTAAGCGGCTACATTATGCATGACAAACTGCAAAGAATGAAAATAGTACCCACAGTTTCCTGCAACTTATCCTAGTTATCCAATATATGGTTAATTAAATACGCGTTCGCCCATTTAGTACTACCAAATTGTCAATTTCGACATACTAAGACGCTGTTATCTGGCCATCAGAATTCTGTCAAATCTTCCCCCAAAGTCCAGGAAATGGCATTTCAGAGACTCTAGATTTAAAAATTTCCTCGAGCCTTCGGACCTCGCTTTCAGCTCCCCAATCAAAAAGAGCTCCCTACGGCCCTGAATCGCTACGGAAACGCCACTGTGTAGATTATTAATAGTTAGGATGAGGGGTCAAAAAAATTTTCAGTAAAAAAAATAGGGGGGCATAATTTTTTATCAACTTTTCACTTGGGGGTTCCAAGTTTTGGCATGGAATTAGACATCAGTTCCTCCGGCCCACCCCCACAGCTAAAAAATGAATGCTCCCTTAGTCACACATAATTTGATGTTCAAATTCCTGGCTGCATGGATGAGCATTCAAGGCAAAATATCTGCAGGCTTTGGCTGGACCCCCATTTACATTGAGATATGCATAACAAACAATTGTATAAAGCAGCAAGGACAATAAACAAACAATATTAACAAACGGCTCATGACGATCGAGGCTCATGATATCAACCTCAAGTGAACAAAGAGTAATAAACAGTGTGAACGCCTCAGGTTCAACGCAAACCCGCATTAATTTAACGATATATGAACGATATTTTATTTAAAAGTGCTTCAATACGAGCTTACCTCTACATTTGAAATATCGGTGATATCGCTTGCGTTCATTCTCATTTCGGTCGAAGACATAATGTCAATATTGTTCTCTGTGTCATCAGACGGAGTATGATCGGTCAAGAGACGTGGGGGTGCGTTTGTAGTCTGTGTAGACATCTGTCATCTGATCTATCAGCATTTACACAACCACAGTGCACACATTACGACATCGTTTAGCAAGAGTTTGTGATAATACGTCTTTAATATTTCACTATACTGCCCTTTTAAACGACTCTACTGCTCTTTTTGTTATATAAATAAACGAGATGTACGCTTTCCGGCTTTCGAATGAAAACTTTATAGCAATAAACTTTCTTTCCTCTCTGCTATTTATACTGAACTCTTCTTTTGCGGAAGCCGGAAACGGTTGAGCCAGAACAGGCCACAGCCACAGGGCCCACCTTGCAAGTATGATACCGATTAAATTTATATGTAAAATATAAATTCAAAGTGAAACTTTATACTTGAAATTTGAGTCCATTTTCGAATCATAACAAAGTACATTAATTTTGATTCTACATGAAGTATTCCGGAAATCTACCGCTGAAGAATAACAAGTAGCGCGGGCGCAGTGCCCCCGCCAAGAGGAAAAAGCCTGGGAACGAGGTTGCTTTGCCGCCACTAGCCTGCGAATCGCAGGCTATACCGCCACGAGATCAAAACACTGAGCTATACTATAGGATCAAAACAAGTTTTCTTCAAGAATTGATCGGTATCGCCTCTCGGTTTGCTTTAATAAAAAGCTGATGTTGCGTATGTTGCCGATCTAGGGGTCGTCCAATCTCGTTCTCCGAGCCTGCGATCCTCGGGAAGGAACGTGACGCTCTGGGATAATCCGCTGCCGGAAACCAGGAATCCTGGCTAAGATTGAACTGTGCATCCATTTGAACGGCCAATCAGTTTCCTCATTGAAACGGATTATCTCAGAGCCTCACGTTCCTTCCCGAGGATCGCAGGCTCGGGGAACGAGATTGGGGGTCGTCAAACCGGTCAAGCGACTAACGTAAAAATTGCAATTGTTCACATATTGAACTGCTGTATTTTTTAAAATATGATGTACTGTCTGAATATCTAACACCATTTTGGTTCGCTATGCTTCTAAATGAATATGAAATAGAGTTTATGTTCAGAAAAATTCGAAACATTCGAAATTTAGGCAATGTTGACATTAAAGTTCACATTGTTATGAGCAGAACCGATGCGCAGAACCGATGCGCATAACGGACTTGACTTCCACTTTAAATATTCGACCAATAGTGCAGTTATTTTTTATCATGCAGCGGCACCTTATAACAGTCCAGTATCTATTATCATGCAGCGCTAGCAATTAACATTCCAGTCCAGTGATATGATCAAATTTCATACAGTGGCTGAGACGACGAGCTTAGTCAAGTCAGTGAGCAGCTGACATACGCAAAGTCGATCAGTCAAAAAGTCAAAATCCAGTGTTCTGATTGGTCTTAGCCTACGGTGTAGACCCCAGCAGAAACACGTTTCTGCTGGGGTCTACACTGTAGGCTAGATTGGTCTAGACTCTAGACGCTTATTTCAAATGAAAACAAGCGATTTTTTCCGATTTTGACTGATCTGTGGGGAGTTCTGACCTATTTACAAAAGTCAGGGGTGCCCCATTTGTTGGAATATCATTAATATTTGACGCGTGGTAATTAAGCCTTTCCGAGCGCGCGCTCATTCGAAGCTAGTGTCATGTACTTGGAGCTTTGTCGAAAGATTCAATTTAAAGATTTCTATGGAAAATTCGGAAATGTCTGCTGCTCCTTGGCTTGTAGTATTTACGAAACGGTTCAATCCGCATTTGCGGTGAATGATTTAGCTGTCTTACAAGACTGTTGTTGCCTGTTGGGCTGATCTTGGGAGGAAAATCGACGCTATATCGGAGACTGGTTCGGTTGAGCAGTTGCTAGGCGCAATGAGTAGCACGAACTACAGTTTGACTGTTTGAGTAGATGTATGGCACCAAGATCTTTATTCTGAATAGTGCAATAAGGTAAATTTAATGTGAATTCATTTTATTTCGTTTTGGTAGCATAACAATATTTATAAGCGAACAAGATGCGCGCCAGGCACATGTAAATACATTTATACATGTATCTTGATTGAGATTTAGCTATGAATTTTGATTTACACAACAAATTTTTGCGGTTGAAATAAAGACCGTCAGAACTCAGAAGGCTATTAATATCGAGGATAACCGATATAAATGCAGTATACATAGGATATAAAGGTCAGCTTTTACAAATGAATGTTAATGTTTAATAGATTTTTATAATATTGATATATGTCTATTTGAGTAATATGACACTGTAGTGATTACTAGTCAAGTGATCAAAATTGACTCAACAAGGCTATTAGGCTACATAATTTACATTAACATTGGTTGAAGTCGGCAAAATCCTTGAGGGATATCGCGCCAACTACTATAAATTAAAAATCAGTACTAACTAAATATACACTAAAACTATTATAAAATCGTTCAATTAATTAATTTTTAAAATAAGCTGTTTTTAAAAATGTCAAAAGATTTAGCAGTAACAGTGTCAGCTGGTATACAAATAATGAATGTTTATGAGTGCAATGGTAAGAATATTTTCATGAGGTGAAAGATGGAATGTTCCATTCAACGAGGCGACCACCGAGTTGAATGGAACATTCCATCTTTCACCGAATGAAAATATTCTTACCATTGCACGAATAAAAACATTCATTATTTGTTTTATATAATACCAAAATAGACTAATATTAAAAGGTTTACTGTAAGATTTCGCCATTTTGACGAGTCGTATTTGCATTAAATCCCATTTACTGAGTTTCGAATATCGGGTTAAAATAAACTGCGATCACCGTACGAGAAGCATTTTGACGGATGCGATTTATCGAAAACACAAAGAGTGCAATGGAACAAAACGTATAGTACAATTGCACTCGCAAGAGTGCAATGGAACGTATTCCATTGCACTCTTGGGAAATGGAATTTTCCATTCAATATCACGTGACCATAAACAGCCAATTAAACGATCAGAATTCAATAAGGTATTATATAATATAGTTTATTCCATTCACTTATTGTCCTTGTAAAAAATGAATATTTAAAAATGTTTATTCTTGCTTTGGGAATTCTGAACTTAAACTGGTGACTACCCCGTGTTCTTTTCTCATTATTTGGGATCAGATATTCTCCCCAATTGCCTTCTAGATAACCATGGCACATCTTATACATGGTGACAAGTCTTGCTCGTTTTCTCATAGTTTCCAAGGGCAGGGTTGTAATATAGCTAATTAATATGCTAATAACTAATCCAAATGGGAATAACTAATCAGTATTCAATATATAGTTCACAAACACTATACAGGGTGTATCAAAAAAAACTGAACAGATTTGAAATTGCTCTCAATTTCGCAAAACACCTATTTGTATCTGGTTTTTATATATATAGCTTCTTTGGGTACTTATAATGTAAAATAATGAAAAAAATTTCTCGAACTCAAATTTTGTGGACCAGGGGGGGTGTCTTTTCCAACAAATTAAAATGGCTCGCGCACAAAATGTAAAAGCTGTAATCATATTTTGAGTTAATAGATTGAAACGTTGTCGGGTTTTTAATTACTGTACAAAATTTCAGACAATTTGGTTTAGTTTAAGCCCTTTAACTATTCATTTTGTTCTAAAAAGTCAGCCTTTCGCATGCTTAATTAATGCCTTTACCTAATTTGCATATTGCTGACATATGCAAATTAGGCAAATGCATTAATTAAGCATGCAAATAGCTGATTTTTCGGGAAAATTGTAACTTTGCGTGAATAGTTAAGTGGCTTATACTAAACCAAATTGTCTGAAATTTTGTACAGTAATTAAAAACCCGACAAATTTTCCATCTGTTAACTCAAAATATGATTGCAGCTTTTAAATTTTGTGCGCGAGCCATTTTTAATTTGTTGGAAAAGACACACCCCCCTGGTTCACAATCGAGAAATTTTTCTCATTATTCTACATTATAAGTACCCAAAGAGGCTATATATATAAAAAACCGGATACAAATAGCTGTTTTGCGAAATTGAGAGCAATTTTAAATCTGTTCAGTTTTTTTTGATACACCCTGTATAAATAATATATTTCTCACTCGAGAACCGTTCATCCTTATATATCATATTACCGAGTGAACAATAACACAAATTATTATATAACACTTGCAGAATTATAGTATTTTTGATGCTGTATTAATATAACCGAAAATGTTTATGACTTTCAGCTATTATATATAGTTCGTAATTCCGAGTTACAATATATTTAATATATTTATGGCGGTCACGGAGAACTTCACAGCCAAAATTCCCTCCCAGTTTAAACAGTGATGGGAGCGTTAATAGATCTTTATCATCTCGTGGCCGGTATGTCATCTTAGAAACATAATTATATCCAAAAGACTAACCTGAATAATTTCCAATAATCAATTTGTATTGCTCGCATTCATTAAGAACTTGAAACAGACGATATTGGGCATAACGTCTCTCTCCTTCAAAATCCTCCATTTCAATTCTTAAAACATTCTCAATGTTATTAGACATTTGATGAATCCTATCTAAACCCAGCCAAAAGTCGCCACTCAAATCGCCAAAACCACTCTTATAATCTGTCCAATTTCGGTAAAAGTCAACACTCCCGTTAAAACGTCTTTGAAAGACTGTCCACCCACCTCCCGAAGATTTCATATCACATCTTACTGAAAACGTTCCTTTCCCATCCAGTTCGATATTATAGATACCATTGTTTCTTACACCTTCCTTGTATAGTTGAGTACAGCTTTTGTAGACTAGAAAAACAAATTAAATATACGTTATATATATGCTCTTTGTGAAACTATTTCAACAAACAATTGGTAGTGCATGCATTCTACAATTTCTGGTTTCCATGATATAGGAATTGCAGACTGATCATGAAGTTCTAGAGTGGGTTAACTAGTCGCACCAAATCAGTAGGCAGAAGCATGCAGTTTAAACAAGGCTTTTTGTTTTTACTTTCTCAATTGGCACTCAAATATAACAATACCACAATCGTGTGAAAGTCCGAAGATTACCTTTATTTTCTGTGGAGGCGTACATTGGAACCAGAACACCATTCACGATCTACGATAAAAAAATGGCTTATCAGAAGGAACGAGACATACGCCTGTATTTAGTCTGAAAACTCGCTCACACTCAAAGCGTGGAGGTTCAATCTCAGCTTCCCTTGAGCGAGTACTCTTTTTGAATAGCTGGGGGGTTAGTGCCGTACCGTAGCATGACTACCCGAAAAACATGGCAAGATAAAACGAGCGCGGTTCCATTGGGTATTACTTATATAAAACGTCGTATATATAGGTTGATAAAGTAAAATGTTTCTACTTAAGAAAGAGAGAATTTCCCAGTGGTGTAGTGGAGGGGGGCTCCGGGGGGCTGAGACCATTTTATATTACTAACGGCGATTTTTTTTAAATCAGCATAATTTTGAATGCTTGTACCACAATTATTAGAAAAACACAAAAAAAATTTAGAATTTCCAAAATATAATATTGTAAACACCCCCCACCAGTTCAGGATAATTTTGGAGAACACGGAAACACTCTTTGGGCTGAGCCCCTATACGGTGAGGTTTGTACAAAAAGACCGAGGTCCGATATTTCTCTGTAAAGACCGAAAAAGGGAGGTTAATGAAATAATTTGGTTAATTTGATAGGAAAGAAAATAACTAAAATATTTGAGTGGCAGTGATTATAAAAACTACTGATTGTTGCTAAAACTTGGAGAAATGTACGAACATTGAAGGAGAACTTAAGGGAATAACGGTAAACGTTGAACGAAAAAAACCCCAAATATAATGTCGGTAAAATTTTTTATGTTGAGCGCCCCCACCTCCCTCCTAGCTCTCTTGCTTGCCAAAATGTTTGAGAAAAAGAAATATTTCAATATTTCAATGTTGTCGGTAAATTTTCAAATTTTGTCAGGAGATACGATACCCCCCCCCCTGGTTAAGCCTCTTGGCGACTGCCATGAATGTGCCATTTGCGAGTTTGGTTGTAAAACATAGAGTAGAACAACCACGGGCATAGTCTATATATTGTTGGCTAGTGTAACAAGTGCCGTGCATTTGGCTATTCTGGGTAATTGGCAAGTATACAGACACAAATATAAAATATTAGCTAAGATCCTGGTTAAAAGTACAAGTTGGATTACAGATTAAGCTTTTATTTAAACCGGCTTGGAAACACAAGAATAGTGGTAATACTGTACATAAGGTTTGACATGCATTTATAAACTAGCCTATTTACTAATGCATGCACATAAGAAAAAGTGCAATTGAACGTGAAACTACATCAGCAAAGTATTTTAATCGGTAACACTATACCTCTTTTGGTTCAAGATAATCAAACGAAGGGTTTCTTACAAACTTTTGAATAAATTTTTCTTTTGTTGAGTTATTCAGCTGACAATTAAATCTTGGTTTACCCTCATCACTTAGTGTTTGATAAAAATTGACTGATCGACATTGACCATTCTCACGAAGACACAGATGAGCACAGTCCATTATACTGCCAACACACTTCTCAATGTAAGAACAATCTTTCAGACGATATCCTAGTTAGCGAAAGAATTTTAGAAACATTTTCCTGCATGGGCAAAACTTTAATGTGGATATTGTTATACTACAGTCACATAAAAAATATGCCTATATCCAGACTGTCAAAGAAGTTTTAGATAGAGAAATTATTAGGGGTGCACCGGATTTCAAATCCGGCCGGAATTCCGGCCGGATTTAACGAATTTTCCGGCATCCGGTATCCGGCCGGATTTGGAGAAAATCTGGCCGGATTTAAATTTCTGTTTTCACCTTAAAAATTCACCAAGAATGGATAAACCATCAATTTGGCAGCTTTAGAGTTTAAAAAAACACTTATATTATTATAAAATATCAAGTTATTAACGAAAAAATGTTTAAAAAAGGTTTAAACACAATCAAAAATTTAAACTGACACTAACTAAAAATAGTAAAAAACATAAACTGCCATTTTGAATACTGATTTATCCACAATTGTCGCCATTACCGGTTTATTTTAAATCCGGCAAATCCGGCCGGAATTCCGGCCGGAATTTTTGTCCAAATCCGGTAAATCCGGTTCCGGCCGGATTTGAAAATTCCAAATCCGGTGCACCCCTAGAAATTATATTAAATCACCATAAGGTAACAGGTTATATTATTTGATAATTAATTTGAACAGGCAACAAGTTTTATGAATACAAATGTTTTGAAGGTCATAAAAATTAATACGTCGTCACGATAAGCGTCGTAGGATAATTTCGACCCAATGCTACCCGACCTTTCTAAAATCTTATCAACGTTGACGATAGAAATTTAAATAAAAACAGCCGTAAAAACAACAAAATTATGTATTGCGTTTGATGTCGTCAACATTCTTTTTTAGCTTCCGTATTTTCTAGCATATATACTTGTTCAAGACGCTCAGAAAGCTAAGTTAGTGCCAGATGAGCATGGAGTTTAATTTCGATTCACACCTCACGTCATCGCATATAACGCAACGGGTGATTTTAATCACAATTATTATGATTCGCGAAACGGCGTGTGGGGACAGTGAACTCCATCTCTTTTATCTGGAACCTTCGAAAAAACGAGATATACGAAGCCAAAATCGCAATGTATTTCAACAACTTTACGCCAAACGTTCGTTGAAAATCATAATTGTGAATAATAATGAGACGCAATGCATTGTGCGAAGACCCTCATTCCTCCTCTGCAAAAAAACATTTTGACTCTTTGTATAAATAAAGCATTATTGACGAATAGATCGGGTGGGCTATTATTAAAACTGCCCGTAAATTCATGAAATCATATTGTTTCAATACGTCAGAGCTCTTAAGTACATCTTGTCTCTTTGTATTAAGACATTATTTTAAAATGTTCTAAACGAGCATGCGGAAAATGGGATATTTCGGGCTGTACGGAAGCGCCGATAAATATTAAAAGCACATTACTTGCCTCTAGAATAAACGTCAAACAGTTCATCGCCTTAATGGATATTAGCACAAAGAAATAAAGCCATATATAATAACCTGGTTTCTTCTGGAAGTAATCGTATATTTTGCATTTTCAGATCAAAAGTAAAAAGCTTGTAAATTATGTGCACGCAATTAAATATTTTTCTCGCACTTCCCCCCCCCCAGCCGTCCCCCCCCCGGAATTACGACATCTGGACAGACACAAGATCTCGATCTCGCCAATACATAGATCGGCCCAAAAGAGAGGGTCGAGTGAGCGAGAAACCTTCATGTCAAGATTAGGAGTGCTGCGTGCCTTCGGCAGCAAAAAGCTGTTGTAACACACTGATTTTGGTCACCAAATCTTACATGCAGATCGGCGTTTGAAGACGAAATGTAACGTAGATGCTAGTGCAAGTCCTTATATTTCGCTGCTTCCTTTACAACTGTAGGGAGCCACCTTTATATTTAGAAAGTACGCAGTTAAACGTCATCCTAACTGATAAATACGTTTGAATAAAGTGTGTATAATGTACTCTTAAAAACCATGCATACTACACGACGAAATCCTTTGGCTTCCTTTTCGTGTGCTTGTTTCCGATGATCAATCAAATTTTCGTGCATGTTTGTTACTGAGCTCAAGTTCAAAGGGAACTGAACACATTTGCACTAAAGCCGAGTTTCTGCTAATTTTTTAAGGTAGTAATATAACCACTCAGCACAGCATTTTCACATTGATACTACCAACACTGGTACAGACAGTTTTAACATAGAAAAGGCCATTGGGTGTAAAGCAATTTCTGACACTGGGTCATGTTATTGTGCAAAACGCATTTAAAGGGAAACGCGGAAAGTTATTGTCCAAAAGGCATGAATCAGTATGCGTTTTGTAAGGGCGAAGCCCATATTCATGCAGTTTTTAATGCAGTATAAATTGGATATAAGTTATTAGTCTGTGTAAAATATACTGCGTAACAAGTTACATGCAGCAAGATTGCCTCGTGTGATATGCATATGCATGCATGGCACAGTGACGTTTGCACGAGGCACGTCTAAACTTCTTGCAATTAGTTAACATGCACCGAAGCACGTAAACGAACGCAAAGCCTCATACTGAACGAAACAATCGTCAAAACTCACGTTCTCTCTTGGCTGATAGCACTCAATTCGTTCTCAACCGTGTAATAGCAAACTCTTATTGGATAAACGTTTGGCATAATATATTCGCACAAAAGTTGGCAGTGTGTTGGTGATTTACATACGATTGCTTGAGCCGGTTTTCCACTAGGCGGAATTTTGCGCGCGGAGCGGAATTTCCCTTTGTATTTTCCAATTAGTTCTACTCGAGAAATCACAAGACAAAGAAAAATTCCGCCCCGCGCGCAAAATTCCGCCTAGTGGAAAACCGGCCGGCTTAACGTACGGAACGTAAACGCGAAATTTGCATGCACTATGAGATATTATAACTCGAGACGTCTCGCTCATTCCTTGAAAAATTGGCACGCTTGATGCATGCCATTCTTTACCTAGTAAACTAAAACTCAGAATATCCACAGAATGTTAACTGATATAACTTTGGAAGTCGACCTGGCCGCTGTTTGTACACAAAAATTTAGTTCATTTTCAATGGAATTTGACGACTCGACAATCTCGTGCCATGTCATATATGCCGTACTGTATATGAATTTGCATGAAAGTAAACACAATTCCCAAAGGGCAAAAAACCAATGCAAAGGGCAAAATTGCAACAGATATATCTATACTATAGACATTGTCATTGCGCTACTCAATACAATATATTACGAGATTAGCGACGACATGTGCATATCAACGATATTTCAGCATTGAAGCATGCATATAAACACGGCGAGCAGAGGCAGAGAAAAATGACTTTAACTTAAAATCCATAGAAGAAAATGGATCGCTAGAAAATTTTTATGGCCAGTCTGTTTTTGGGATTTGACCTTGAAGGCTGAACGACTAATAATTATTAATGTTTCTCTTGTGACTCTTAGTGTCTGAAGAAGTTTTAAGATTTAAACATTTTCTGTACAAATAGTTGGACATATGTCTGCATGAGAATGAAAAATTTGTATATGCAAACATATTTCGCACGATCGATAGTACTAGTACGTTAGGCAATCTCTAGACCCTATAGTGATCTACACGACTACACATGTCGACATACAGTAGCTTCAAATCTAAATTGTGTTTAACTGACAACATGATAAAGTCTTTAGAATTCGCAATTTTACAAACTTGATATGCATATCTATGGTCTTAACAGACATATTACAGTACTGTACATTGTACATACAGTACAGGTACTGTACATGTGGAGCCAATAAGAATTCAATTTCTTACGTTTGCAAATTAACATAACTGAATATACGTTCGTTTATGTGCTTCGGTGAATGTTAACTACTTGCACCGCAGCAACTCGCACCATAGTCGTATATGCAAAAGATATTCGCCAGATTTGCTTGATCTACGTACTCGGCAAAACTAATAAAAAACTATCAGAGGATTGAAAAGTGGATGCTAGCGCTATACTCCATATAAGACGATGTGTGAAAATTACGTTGTGTAGATGCAGCAAAATGTGCAATGAAATATTTTTAATAGGTATAAATGAACAATACCTTTGACTGGCAACAGAAACATAACTCTTTTATTTTTCATGGCTTTAGCGGGTTTTTTCGAATCAGCAACAGTGTTATTCAAATCATCAGAGGAATTGCATTGTCTAGCTGGGACTGTCACTGGATGGAAAGTACCACACGAAATAACAAAAATGACACTGTATTGGAGAAAAATGTTTAGACGAACTGGCCACAATTTAAACATCGTTCCTCAACGCTTGCCCCAAATTTCCTAGTAATTATACTGCACGGGACTGATTTAGTTGGTGTTGAAAAAGATTAATATGTGAAAAATTTAAAACTTCTTAAATTTTAATCAGTTTTCTAGTTCACATATATATAATTATGAATATTATTAAAGAATGCGAAAAACCCGGGGTGTTTTTGCAAATCAAGGACATGATTGTTTATAGTCGGCATTTTTACTGGCTGAAAATTACATGCACACTGGTCGGTTAGACACACTGGATGGCCGCGGTTGCGAAAGAATAAGTAATAAGAATCATGCACTGCCAAACGCTCTTAACGCTTACTGCAGCACTTCTAACAAATGCAAACTCATTTCTTCTTGATTGTATATTGTTTTGAACACGATTATGTCATGAAATTAAACGCCTGTAAATTTTCATTAATTTCGCCCATGCCGTTTTCATTACAGCACATTGAAAACATTGTAGGCATGTTGCATAATATTGGCGGCAAGAAAAATATAGAGAAGTTTTTGCCAATCAACTAAAATTGTCTAGTTGTAATTTTTATTGCATTGGTGAATAAAAGAACACAACACGATAAGAATGCTACTGTACGTCTGTAATAAAAACCTTTGCATTTAGTATGAACAACGTTTCCCATCAACGTTTCCTGCAAATTACATGTCTGACATAGACTACATAGTCATGACATGAAATTAAAAACTCCTTCAAACATTAATTAGTACATTTTAATCAGTAATATTACCCCATTTTAGAATTATGTTGGAAATATCGTAGATTAAAGAAGCGTCAAGGTATATTAATAAATATCAAGCGAAAACATTTACTGCACATCAGAATTCTGAGAAATACGTACATTGATATTACTTGAAGCTTGTGAAAGTGGGTTCGGAGTTGAATTCCATTTTCCAAGCGAAATAGTTGCCTGAATCTCAGAAGTGGCGCTGCCAGGATTTTATTTTGTTGGGGCAACTTAATAATTTATGTGTCATATACTCATGCTTCGAAAAATTTTGGGCATGTGAAACGGCTCTCCTGCGCAGTGGTGGCACTGATTGGAGAGTATTTTCAGTGTATGACCATGCATGGGAGACATACATAGTGACAAACATTCAGTAGATTATGAGTATATTCCCACGGCTTATCTTAGTGTGCAGTATTGCACATTTTCTGCAGTATTGAATAAAAAGTGTGCAGTATTGAATGCAAAAGTGTGCAGTATTGAAATTTGAAGTTTGAACTAAATTTCAACTTTGTATTAGATGTGCTGAAGGAGCGAAGTGGATGAAATATAAAGTCGAGAATTCCAAAATGCCTTTGCAACAAAATGAGCAAAGGCACAAACAAATATTGGCCAAATATACGCCAGGTTCCAGTAATAATTCCAATATTCAATACAGTTTCATGACCGGAAAAGCCAGTAACTGTGAACTATAGTATAGAAGCTATAGCTTCTTTCCCCCACAAGAGGGAAGGCCTCGAAACGAGGTTGTCATTTGTGTCGCATTAACAAATTACTACTACAGTAGGTTATGGCTGATTTGAATTTGTAATGGTTTACTTTTTGTATGTTGTCATTATGTTCTATATAAAAACATAACAATTCAAAGATGACGTCACATGGTGACGTCACTGATGACACCTGTTCCGAAGTGTGCAGTAATGAAATTCCTTAAGAAGAATAAGCCCTGTTAATATTCCCGCACGATACGCAACACTACCGTTGACAATTGTTTACTCCACCCTCCCAATCTTTTTATCGGAATTGAAGGAATCTAAAACTACACTCCGAAAAATATTGCCGTCCATTTCGCCCCCTCTCCCTTCCGCAACGGGACTACAAGTACTGCACTTGTATAAGTTTAAAAGCCCATACAGATCGGACGCGATTGGGCAACATGACGCGAATTTTCAGTTTTCAGTGACATTTATCTTTAATATTTTTCATTGTTTTTCACATATTCGGAACCACTTAGCAATTTTAGCTATTTGGTCTGTAAAATTTTTATCCGTTGACGGTTTTATTTGTTTTTGAAACTTCAGGTCTGAAATTTCGCGTCCGATCTGTGTACAGGGCCTTAATAATTAAATCTTCAACTTATAGCATCCTAAGAGGCATTGGGATATTAATATTCTAAACGGTATAAATAAAACACCGCGATGTTGATATAAAGTAAAAAATAGAACAATTGGTAACTAATTGCAAACCTAGCTAAGGCCCGGTCTAAACGCCGCATTTTACATGCGCCGAATCAAATTATTGAATTACATGCATGTAAAATGCGACGTTTAAATCAATTAAATTCGACAGGTTTGAATTAAGTGCGACTTCAGTCGAATGTTCGACTTGGTCAGTCGAATATTCGACTAAAAGTCGATTGTTGATTTAAACGCCGCATTTTACATGAGCCGAATCGAATGCATAAATTATGTTAAAATATTATTACCCATAACTCCGTGGTTTCATGCAAAATGACATGCGCAGATACGCGTATGCAGCTGGAGCAAGCATGGCCGCAGTTGAAGAGTGCTTCTCCTGCCAAATCGAGACGAAATACACTTGTTTAAATTGCAAAACGTTTGTTTGTATGAGATGTTGTTATTTTGAAGAAGACGATGAGACTCTGGGATGGAAAGAAGGACGATGTGTTGGTCGTTGTGACGATTGTTTTCGCGAAAAGGTCAAGGCCTTTAATGCACGGTCGTCTTGTACCAGTATAAACAACAATTCAAGTATTGTCTTCTCTCAATCGTCTTGTCGTTCAAGCGTTCAAAGTGAAGAATCGACAAGTACGACAAATAATTCATCAGGGAGGTATGTACTCGTAAAACATACAGAAACTACTGAGTGATTTCTTAGATTCATTGAGTATGAGTTTTAACTATTGTTTATACTAGGGTAGTATATACTACCAGAAAACTACCAGTGTACCACTAGGATGTGATAAAGTTCTCATGTAAGTCGTGTTTTTTATTGAACATATAACTGCAAGCATCTATGCCACAAAGGATGTTTAAATTTGCTACTCAGATTAGGGCCAACTCCATATTCATGAACATTGCCAGGGTGGACTTTATGCACCTATCAATTTTAAGCCCCAGAGGGGTGGGAGGGGGTCGGGCATAGGTGGGGCATTTGATTTTTTGAGCAAATTTTCAATCAAATGCCCCACCGTCAGGCAATAAATATTGGTCAAATGCCCCACCATTTTGCAATAAATTGCAATAAATACTATCTTAATAAAAGTCATTCGGTTCAAATTGCCCCAACTCGGGGCCAAAATGCTGATCATGCAATTGATGATCAAATACCCCACATATGCCTGCCCTCTGGGGGTTAACATTGATAGGTGCATTAGGGTTGGGCGATATTTCGATATTTTGCTTTTCGAAGGTAGAAACTTGAGCCGCTGATATATCGAAATTATCACCATGCTTGATGACTATCGTGATATTTTATATAATCCTAAAAAAATTCATTCAATTCCTAGAAAATATAGTTTTTAAAAAAATTAAAACTACTTCCTGAATTAAATATGAATTTAAAGCTAATATTTATATTTATCCACTCAACAATGAAATTGCAGGACACTCAACAATGAAATTGTGCCAGCAGAGACACAGTAGACACTGCATAGACAGTTCAGATTTATTAGACTAGAAAAAGCATTCATGTTACTTTAATTTGTTGTTTTACTTGTTTTTAATAAGATTATATACCAGGGTGGATTCCATGTTACTCTCATGCCGGATATACACCATAACATTTACAATTACATGCCAAGGTCGTTTACTAATTGTTTTTCTTGGCCGCTGTTGACGCCGAGAGAAAATGGCGGGAAAAAGAAAACCATTCAGTATCAGTATTGAGCAACTTTAAAACGGTTTAAACTCAGAAAATGTTCTTATGTCATGCACATTTGTCAACACTTAATCACTAATTCAATCAGTTACCATGCAAATCAAATAGGTTAAATCAAATAGAATCATGTTAAATCAAACTAAAGTTATGATCACAAACATTCAGGTTCAGAGGACGGCACAATAAAAATCCATACAAAACGAATAGAGTTCAGCGATATTATATCGAAAAACACAGAAAAGTTCAAGCGCATGCGCAATGAAATATAATAAAATACGTCCCACAATTACAGCGTGTAAGATTTGTAACATAGTTAAATACGAAATTCGTTGTAATCATAGACGGATTTTGTGGGGGTGCAGGGGGGTATAACCCCCCCAAACAAAATGTCCACCCCTCCAAAAAAAATTTCAACCCCCCTCCCCCAATATTCGGCATAATAAAAAATAATTAAATAGTCCACTCCAACGTGCAGAGTGTTGATGATACAAAATAAACGTAGGAGTACACTCAAATAGAAAACGACAGTGCAACACTCTGAAACTAATCGCTCCTCGCTTGCATTCACTGGTTTATTGGAGCAATTGTAAAGTTTTGAAACTCTATTATCTCCCCTGAATAGAGTTTGCAGTACCTTGTCATGCAAATAGCTTGCTTGCAAGGAACGCTTTGAATTTTTACGAATATTATTTTTAGTTTTTAATTCTTTTAGGAAATAGACTTGCCTAGATTTAATCTTTACGCCCCAAATATTATTTACATCTGAGTTGCATCATAAATTGTACTTGGATTCAAACAACACAATGTCAATGACTTTATAAAAGTAAAAGCATATTGTGTATTGACCTATTGGGTTTACACTTTTACAGGTTCATTTAACTTTAACTCTCTCAAGTTTCAACAGACAATCGGACATGCCAAATCCATTGATATGACAACTTCAAAAAACTTTTTTCGAAGCTAGAAATCATGATTTTTCAAATTTTTCCTGAGATATTTTGTTTTCTGCTCTCTAGACTCCCCCTCGCGGCTCTAGTGCTCCACCCCTAGGATATAGACCTTACTGGGGTTTGGTGACACTGTGTTGCTTCAGTCACCTGCTCACGGCTCACCCCCCTAAAATTTCTGGCACCACCCCAGTAAAAAATATGAAAATCTGTCTATGGTTCTAATTAACATTGTGTTGAATTGGTCCTAATCAGCGTGAGCGTGTTTTAGCTAAATTGCACAATCCTGAGCCCACGATGCCGCAATGCAAAGTCACACTTGCGTATTGCGACAACCAAAAAACCCCCGAAAAATACAGCATTTTCAGCAAGGGCATTCTATGACACTGGCTGCGGTTTAAATATATTAGTGCAATAGTGGTGAAAAGTACAACTGTTTTTTTCTATTAATATAATTAATACTGTCGTTGTTGAATTTTTGTATTCCGCCGACGTGCTGCAAAAATTTCACGCCAACACACTGAGGTGCTGATGAGCCAACATAGTGACAAAGGGCGAAGTTACGCCAATACGCCGATATAGCTCCACGCCGGATATCTTCGGCAAAGTATACATGGAATCCACCCTGGATTATATATAAGCTTACTATGCTTTGATATTAATTAAAATTGAAAAATTTGGTCATTGTTTTTATTGCATTTATCGCAATACTATCGAATATCGTGATAATTTCGTTGACAATAATCAGGAGATGATTTTATTAATATCGCCCAACCCTAGTGGATTTTTATGTTAACCCAAAGTTATCTTGATGGCAAACTGGATAGTCTAGTCTAGATATATTGTGCAGGGAGTTAAGGGGTATTCCGGCATATCTTTACAAGCTATAGTTTTGGAAAGCCTTTCAAAATATGCATGCAATGTAATATAACTTGTAGAAAATTCTTGTTCTTTCACAAGAATATACAAGTAAGTAAGTTGTAAAATAATATTTTCAAACTCGCCTAACTAAAAGTGCCATTTTAGTGTCATTATCTTTAGTGGGTGCCAGGTTAAAATGCTTTTTTCTCATAGAAAACAAGATGTTGAGGCAATAAGTGACACCAATATATCAGGTGATGATGATAGTGATATAGAAGAAGATGAGATTATACAAACTAAGAAGAAAAAGAAATCTGGACGGAAGTCATCGTGGAATCCTGAAGATATAGATGACCTAGTTGATATTGTGGTGAACAGTGATTACTATCAACGAAAGCTCATTTTTACCAATACAAAGTGTCAAAGGAATGCCCAAATTTATGAAGAAATTCTAAAAGAACTGAAACGTAGAGCTTCTGAAAGGGGAACTGAGTTAAAGTTCACTGCAAACAATTAAGAACAAAATTTAAAAAATGCATAAGTGATTGTAAACAAGCTGCACTTCCAGGAAAATCGTGGGCTTGGAGACTGGTTTAAAGCATTATTTCCATTAGTTAAATCAAGAGATTCCTGTCAACCTGATCAGGCCATTGAGCCTGATTGCTCAAAACAGTCTCCCAATTCTGAAGAAATTACCAATTCAGAGACATTAGTTGATCAAGATATATCGAAGGATTCAAAGAGAAAAGATGAAAGAAACGTTTTCGTTCCAGTGAAGAAAAGTAAGAAGGAGGATTCAAAGAAGAAGATGGATGCTGCTGTTTTGGAATCAATAGGACTTTTAAAAGAAGTTGTGAATAATGATACTTCAAAAGACATTATTAGCTTCTTACGGGAAGAAATGGATAAATCTCGGGAACATGAGTTGAAACTAATTCAGATGTTGAGTTCTGGAGGAAGTGCTACTCAACAACAGCAACAGCAACAGCATGCCTTTCAATCAATGCCTAATTCTGGGAATACACAATATATTGAAAATGGGTCAATTGCAAACTATAGTCAAAACTGGCATGGAAGTGGAACATTTGCCCATAACATGTTAAGTCAACCAGAAATGCCTCATGCATCATTTGGTCCATTCACTCCTTCATCTAACATGCCATCAACTTCAGCTCAAAACTTTTGTGATGGAAAAGTATACCATAAATTGTAAATTCAATTCGGTTTTATATTTTTGCCAGATAAACTGGAGCATTTAGCAATAGAAATAATTTAAGTGTTCATATTAGTTTTGGATAAGCTTTGTGTTGCAGTCACAGTTGGTTCATTATGCAAAGGTGAGAAGTTACTGTAGTTTAAGTCATGTTGCGTTTTTGGTTCATATTTATCTGTTCAAGTTTTGTTTCTTTCTGATCTAGTCTCTGTTTGTGTGAAAGAATAACTTTAGTTTTCACATTAAAGCAGAATTAAAGCACAGAGAAAACATGTTTTTCACAATATGCCTTTTTAACTACATATGGATATAACTGGTAGAAGTTGAGCTTCTATCAGTTTTATGAATGACAATTAACAATATGAATTTGTAATAATCCCTTGCCAGTAGAATCTTATTTTCTACTTTTATCACCTTCTGTTTTGCAAATTAAAACTTGATGGATATAGTTATGTTTGTCAGTTGAGTTTCAATTAACTAAGTAAGAGAGTTTCAAGAAGTATAATATTTGTATTTAATATGAATAAAGATTTCAAATCAACTGTAGTATAATGTCATATGAGTTCTGGTTGGAAAAGTTTGACCCTAAAACATAAATATATATTAAGACAAAAGGTTGCCACAACAGCCTGTTTCATATATGTTCTCATTAGTGCAACATCATTTTGTCATAATACTGACCAACAAAGCATCAGAGGTGGTGAATATTGAATATCACATACTTTGACATTGGATTACTAAAGTGAATATATGTATATATGTTATAGGGTCAATCTTTTCTTGATCAAGTAAGTACCCCCTGTACTTCGACTCATAGGCGGATCAAGGAGGAAGAAGAGAAGTTTGCACGCCCCTAAGATAAAGTTTGCATGGACAATTGGTTACTAACATTTCTGAAATTAGGTTACTAAAATTTTCGAATCGATAACACTAAGTGATATCTACATTGGTTGAAAAAAGGACAAACATCCTTTCGCACCCCACCTGATGAGCATGTTATCAATAATTCAAACGATTTAAGTAATATGGCGTTCATTCGTAGAATGGCGTTCTTGTAGTATACGGATACTACAGGATTATGAGCATGTTATCAATAATTCAAACGATTTAAGTAATATGGCATTCATTCGTAGAATGGCGTTCTTGTAGTATACGGATACTACGTTTATCAAGTCAAGAAACTATGCCAGTTTCCTTTTCTGTCCATAGTTTAATGGTAAGTGCATTTCTGATGCTATTTGCCTCTTTTGAAACATCACGTATGCTTTTGCATTCTCTCATTTGCAACAGTTTTCTAACTTCTGCTCTGTCTCTTTTTTCGTTGCTTTCAGGTTCGATTGTTAGATCAAGCTTTTTTGAAATAGCGTCACCTTGCATTATACAAACATTGTGAAGTACCATGCATGCAAGCGCAGTCATGCGAACTTGCTCTTTGCTGCTTTCGCTTTTCCTAAGCAGCACTCTCCATCGGCCCTTTAGGTGGCCATATGCACACTCGATAACCATTCGGGCTCTGCTTAATCTGTAGTTAAAGTATTTTTGTTGAGGAGTTAACACGGCATCTGTATAAGGCTTCATTAGCCAGGTATGTAGTGGAAATGCAGAGTCCGCTATTATTAGGGGTGGAATGTTTACCTTACCAACAAGTTTTCCTACACTAGGTAACATGCCCTGTTGGATTGAGTTCGAAAGGTTTGTAGACTGGAAAATGATGGAATCGTGGGAGTTTCCCGGGAACCCACAACTGCCCCATACAAAACGATAGTTAGAATCGACCAACGCCATTAAAACGATTGAGTAAAAGTTTTTAAAATTATAATACTCTTTACATGCTGCAAGGCCGCCTGGAGGACATTTCATCGGAATATGACAGCCATCTAAGGCTGCCCAACTGCAGGGGAACTGCCATTAATAATTCTTCCATATCAACAATCTTTTTTTCGAAACCTTCGCGACATTTTGGCAGGTTACTCGATATCGCTTCATGCCACAGGTGTTCAACAAGAACCTCTGATACTTCCTGTACAATAGCACTAACAGTCGAAATTCCTCTTCCCACCATTTCTGCGATAGTATAAAAATAATCGCCCCTGCCTAATCTATAAAGGCATATACCCAGTCTCTCCTCGGGGGAGATTGGCTCCTCTGTAACATTTTGTCTCTGAAGTACAGGCCGAATACGACTTAAAATAAACAGAAACGTTCCTCGAGTTACACGAAAAGTTTTTTTAAATCGGGCATCAGAATAGGTATTCCAAACTTTTTGTCACCAACCGGTATTTCTAATATACCTACGGCAAGATCGTACGCGAGGAACACGTGCAACCACATTTCTTCGTGCAGTAAACATAAGCATGACATAACAAACACACAGAAGCTGCCTTCTCCTTGCCAGGAGGTTATTTAATGCCATATGCATTAAAAGTCGCCTTTTTCTGTTGGCACGAATCATGTTTGATAGGCATAAACGTATAGTTTTTCTCTTATCAACTTCATCCGCCATATTGTCAGTTTGGATTTGGCGCCATTTGGCGGGCTTTGCAAATTAATTAAATTCGACAATTAAATTCGACGTCTGGATTGAAATTTGAAAAATGTCAATTCAAGTCGACTCGAATATGTATTTGATTCGACGCATGTAAAATGCGGCGTTTAGACTTGGCCTAATTATAACAAACATGCAAACGTTTAATTTAATTTGTTGCTTTTTCAATACAATACTGAATTGTAAAGCATAAAAAATAGAGTAACTAGTTGACCTGCATCTAAGGACGAAAGCGGACTTATATTAATTTATATACAATGTTCTTTCGTCAAAATTGAAGATCTGATTGGTATATGTTAGTGAATATATGCTAATACGTCCTAATATAGATCTATAAAGCAACTTATGTATACAGATTATTTGTTATGATATGAATGAAAATAAAATTATTGGTTGCCTCTGCAAATTCCAATCCTGGGCCGATAGTATCGGTGCATATACAGGGTATACATGCAGAAAGCGAGTATATCTAGCTGGAGTAAATATGTGATAACTTGAAACAATATTGTGTTTGCCGAGATTGGGTTTGACATGTATTTTTGGTACGACATGGCTGTTTATGCACCCAAATGCACAATCTGTTATTGTAAGTGGGTTTCACTAAGTAATTATACAAGGGGAAACACAATTTCCCATGATGCATGTATTGAAGAGTTTTACCTGCATTGGGGCCTGTCATAGTTGTATGAGCGACTATACATAACGGTAAATCGCGTGCATTTGCAACCAAACAGAAAATAACGCAACTGCGTTTCCTTTTAGAGTCGTTGAAGTGCAAAACTTTCCTATTCGCTATTGACAAATATTTTAAAGCAAAATGTATTATTCCCAGCTAGTTTATACAAATAGCTAGTACACCGTTATTGTGACTTTGGACAGTATTATAGCCGGTAAAGCATTTATTACATGGAAACCGGCAAATGATTTAGATAGTTGAAATATTTCCACTTCTTTATACAGTGCAGTATGTATGAATTCACTTGTGACCTGATTACTGATCGAGATCGATCTGCAAAACATCCTGAACTGATAAACTGTGTCTTGTAGTCATTCAGTCACACTTCTTTCTGTATCTGAGAAGAGCGTGAGGAAACCATCTCTCTTCGAATCTCGCCATGAGAAATGTTTGCGTATATCAGTATAACTATTTACTACGAAAGACCCGCTTTAACATGCAGGGCCGTCCCCAGGAAATTTTTCAGGCGGGGGTGTAAGGTCATTTTAACCGACTGACGAGCGAGCTTGTACAGACCACCTGCTAGCCATGGAAGCTTGTGGAATATCCGATGGAGGTCAACTACGGAGCCATTTTTAGATTAAGGGGGCTATAGCGAACGTCGAAGGCGTGAGTTTGTCAGGGGAGTACAGGGGTGAGCATGGGAAATTTTGAGACCTCCAAGAGCCCCGGAAATGCAATCAAATTTACTAGTTGCTGTTAAAAAGTTTCTTAATAGACGACTTCTAGGCCCCATGCAGTTACACGATACCGGATTCGCATCGGAGCGATTCTGATATTCCCCGGAGGGGTAGCGGGCCCCCGGTTTTTTTAAGGTTAGGGTTAGGGGTTAGCGGTTGGGGTTAGAGGTTAGGGGTAGGGTTAGAGGTTAGGGGGTGGGGGTTAGAGGTTAGGGGTTAGAGGTTAGGGTTTGGAATTTATGAATTAGGGTTTGGATTAAGATTAACGTTTGGATTAATCGTAGACACATACAACCCAACACTTTATTGCATACAATGGCATTACAACGCCAATAAATTATTGGTTACAACGTGCGGAACGGCTGATACTTTGTATCGCAATGTCGTTTAACTGTCAATCTGGGCTTGTTTTGCGAACCGATTATAATGATTATCCTGCTGAGTAAATTTCGAGTAACCAAAATTCCCGTTTCTAATATAACAGGTGAAAATCATATCGGTAGTAGATTTATTCGTCAAAAATATTTTTGTCTGCCGACAAAACATGACACATGTATGGACATTCAATTTATTCAGGGTTTAGCCTGTTCAGTCACAACCAATAACAACCAAGTATTTTGCCTAAGCATGCAAATTCAAAAGCGGCAACCAGTAGAAATCGGCGATTTTGCTTATGCATGCTTACGTCTCGATAATGATATTAATGAGGCTATTATATAAGTCCAGGTCAACTATTGAAAACTAACTTCAAACCTTAATTCTTAGTTAGCTACGGGACAACATAGCTGGTTATTAAAATGTACATGTTTTATAATTACTACATTTTTAAACACCGGATATTAAATATTTGACTGAAATATATAGAGCTTTGTCAATAGAACAAACATGGACCGAAACGATTCATTGAATTTGTTGATTTTTTAATACCCTTATAAGTACTTTTCAAAAAATGTATTCAGCACAGCGCTAGCCTACATATATACTTGCAGGTAACTTGGTTTCAAATCAAGCCGCGATCAGTAATGTTTGGAGACCAGTGTACCAGTAAATATTATAACAAACATACTTGCAGAGAGGTGAGTCCGGGATTGGACGCACCGAGAGTGGCTGGAAGTTTCTCGAACTCACCGAGAAAAGCGAGGTGAGTTCGGGAAACTTCCAGCCACTCGAGTTTAATAGTTTGGACAGTTATTAAACCTTCGTTTTGTCAATCTAGAGTTGGAAATGATCCTTGTAGCAATTCGTTTGCTAATTGATTGCCAACACTCATCCTCGTTTTACCGGGCTCAGGACGTCGAAGAAAGCAGGTATATAGTAGCTTGTCAAACAGCGTCTGCATGGCATGTTATAAAATTAATTAAATTGCTGTTTATAACCCCATGTACTGGTTACTGTTCTGTATGACATATTTGACGCATATATACAGACAATATTTTTCTGGCAGCGAGAGTGCAGTACGTAGTGGTAAAATCATTAAATTTCCGTTGTGTGAAAGAAATCGCTCGTGCATTACGCTCTGTGATAGTAACGCAAAGCTTCTCGCATTCGTTGCCGAAATTGCACACAATTTAATCTTGGGCAAAGATTGTTGGGATGTGTGGTCAAGGTTGATGATTGACACGTCTCTTGATGAAAAATGGAGTCGAAGCATTATGTTTTTACTACTCTTTCATTGCTTAAAAAATGCAGGTGATTTTTTTTAACCGTTGCGTTGCCTTAATATATCGCGCTATACAAAAATTAATGAAACAAAATAAATAACATTGACTGGAACCGCCAAAACAACCCTAAACCCAAGTCATATCTGAACCGTCTTATTTAATTTTAATTTAGTGTTCATTTAATTTACTGAAAATTGCAAATTTCGCAAAGCCATATTATCCGCATTTTACAACATTCCGCAACGAAACTTGAGAATATTACTAATTTTGTGATACTCTTTCAAGCTGTGATGAAATTTTTGTCTAGATAAAAATTTAGTCTATAATGCATTGCAAATGGTCCATTCTTGTGCAGATTTCACTCAATGTTATTTACTTCCTATATCAGTTGAATATTTAGTAGCCTACTGCATGCATATGTATACGAGCCAGTCTGTTAAACATTCATGAATAAAATAAAAATTATAAAATCTATTGAAATGTCAATTGTGACAAACAGAACGGCTACGTTTGAAGAAGTTTATTAAAAAGATATTATTAGATACAAAAAACTAAATTTTCGGCTGCATGCCACAGCCTTCTTCAGAGTGCCTAGATCAATGAAATGATTAGTTTTACTAAGAGCCAACACCTTACAAACCACAAAGCACACACTCAGCAAGATACACTACGCATTACTGGAAGTGCATGTCAATTATTTTAAAATATTAAATTATTTTATATATATATATATATATATATATATATATATATATATATATATATATATATATATATATATATATATATATATATATATATATATATATATATATATATATATATATATATATATATATATGATTTCCCACGTTTACGATTCCGATCACTCGTGTAACGTTATGTAATGGTTGTTGAGTTGTTTTCAGACGAGTGTATACCAAGACGGGCAAGCAGAAAATTCTACTTGACCTCGGCTGAGATTCGAACCGTGCGATGGGATATGCTTATGCTTTGCCTTACCATGCGAAGCACTTGTATAAAAGTATGGAATTGGGTATGGTATGCTCTCATTACAGGCCAAAGAGTCAAAATACGCTGGACTAAAGGGGGAACTTTCCATGACAAATCGGTCTTGTAGCACTGCATGATAAGAAAGGAAATTGGTGGCAATTAATGAGATCAAATTACATCAGATCTTTCTATTTGCCTCAGCACCATCCTTCTACGCCCTCATACAACTCACCTTTTAAATCCTGTAAACCCCCTCATTGTGACATCATGACCAAGATTCTGTAATTTTGGAAGAGAGAAAGATGATGTAAACCACACAGAATGCAAATTCTGTCGTGCGTGTGCCATTGTTGTCACATGTGATCAAGAGCAAATCTTTTGCCTGATGTTGTTGCTGTTCTAAAGTCCTGTGTATGTACTGTCTGCGACAAAAGGTTTGCTGACAAAGCAGGGTTGAAGGTGCACAAAGACGCCATGCATGGTTCACGATTTTCCACCTTGGTGAATCCTCAGCAGTCATTGCGAAATTTGTCCCTAGATCAAGTTACATGTCTTTTGCGGCAAAAGGGCCTTTCTGTTTCTGGCAAGAAAAGTATTCTGTTGACACGCCTGGAAAACGAACTCGCGGGAGAGCTTTAGTTGTCTTATTTAATTCCTTGTACTGTAATGTATAGGTTTCTGTAATTGTGTTGTTTTGGGTGAAGTCTGCTTTTCAGTATGCTTGTGAGGGATACTTTTGGTTTCTGCAAACTTAGGTTGGCATGCACTTCTTGGTTGGCCAGTGTTGTATCTTACTAGTATGTCATATAATTAGTTAAACCATGTAGGCAATATCATATAATATCTACTGTACCCTAGAGGACTGTATATAGAAGAATTCTTTTCCTTTCATCCATTTGGTTGTATTATATAATTACATACCCCTAATCATAAATAAGAAAATTGTTGAGACTAAAAAACGAACGTTTTGCAGATTTGTTCAAGTATTATATACTTGTTATGTTTTCAAGTTGCTCCACTTTGGGCGCCATGTAATAAATATCGTAAATAGTTTATAAATCGCTCGAAAAATCGCTGTGAACTCTATCGTATAAACAACAATGAAACAATATGTTATACTTCGAAACAATACAAAATTACAATAACAAAGCAATTACGTACATGATTGACAGTTAAGCGAAAATACAAACCTATTTATTGCTAATTATAGCATAATGTCTCTGTCCGATAATGTAAACAATATATTAAAATGTTAATAATTACTCTTTTTATAACATCGTGTAACATGGGGCCTTATTGATGCATAATTGTTTAGATAAACAAAACTATATTTTACTTTTGCTAAATGTACAACGAACTTAATTTATTTGTAGTTTTCTAGATCAAAAAGCTCTCTTTTAAAATCCACATTTATTTTTATAATAATCTTGTGAACCAAAATGCATTATTCAGAACAGATTTGTTTTCACAAGCAACATATTTTCTTTCTTGTATTAATCCATTAACACTACTAGTGCTTTGGGGTTACTGGGTTAAAGCAAACCTGTCGCATATTTTCATAATGCAAAACTACTGAACCCTGAATGGTTCATTTCCGAGTGGGAATTTAATGTTGCTGTTAACTTGTTTTGTAGGAACAGGTTATAGCATAGTTTTTGTCCTAGCCGTCGAGTAGCATCTTCTTGTTTTTGGTACGGTATTTACCATTATCCACAATGCACGCAGCCGGACAATTTTCATTGGCATGCAAGCCAAAAATGGTCTAATATACTTAATATAATGTTATAATATTCAATCAAGACAGATTGCGTCATTCAAGAAAACATCCATACCTCCCCCCCCTCCCCCCTTCAGCTGTGGCAGCTGCTCTGTTTAAACAAATCTGCCCACAAGATACACTATATATAGGAAACAGGTCAATCACATCATGACATCTTCACATGCAGCTTGTCTTCATGCAGCTTGTCTAACAAACTGTCATGATGAATGGAAGAAATAATTAATGTTTTCCGTTTGGCCGAAATTGGTATTTACGTTACATGTATTTGTGGCAAAACTCAATCATTTCTTCTCATTTTGCTTGGGATGATATTTGCTTGCATGAACATTTCAGCTGCTCTCAATAGGTGATTATGTTTTGTAACACACACAAACACACCCAAATTGTGACAATTTGCATTCTAATCAACTTGCTCTTGCACTATAAAACCGCGACAGCAGTACCATTATTTTGCAAGGGAGCGCCAAAGAAATCTTCAGCTACTGATTTCTAGTTGTATTCGGTGAAAACAGCGAGTGTGTTATCAGCAGCAAGCAACAAGATGGCTTACCATAAAGGTTTCTCTACAATTTTGATAATATTTTGTCACATCTATGCGAACTTTGGTGCGCCAAACAATGACCTGGAGATAAGGTATGCTTATCTGCAACCGTTACAACTTTTTGCAAACCATTTCGTAGAACTGCATGAGTTGTGAGCTAATCCGGCGTTTGGAAAAATTGTAAAACTTTCAACATAGTAACTAATCCAACTTTAGTCACTCTTATCCGTTTTAAGATAAAATAGAGATATAGATCGATGTAACTTGGAAGCTGTTCGTTTCAATTTGTACTTGAGAAGTCATTATTGCAGTAGCTTTTTTTTATATCTTAAAAGGTCAATAGGGGGCTGATGCATGCAGCAGTGCACATTGCAATATATTTCGAAACAAATTTGCTAACAACATGCAATAATGAACAGGTTTAGCTAATTCGTCCGAGCTCATTCTTATATAGAAATGAAGTAAACAATGATGATGTTGTTCAATCGGATGTCCAAGTTCCAAACTATCTACCTCGAGGCCTGTCTGGAAGAGATGGCAAGTAGCCAGACATATATTTCATATATAATTTTCATAATTAGTAATGTATATAACAGTATTATTCTCTCAAACTGAAAAGATAGTTCTAGATAATGACAGTTAGATGCCATTTTGGGAGCATAATAGAAAAGAAAATGTTAGTGGGTCTATTCAAAAAAGAAATATCTTTGATACTATTTGCATATATACTTGAATAACAAATTTCTTCGTTCTATTTAGCGGTGAATATTAAAAGGGTATCCGATGTCGAGCATCATTGAGTAGAACTCAAGGAAACAAATAAACTAATTAATCCCTTATATTATTTTATGCATGCCTATCCGATATAGCCATTATAAGAAACTCCATTTTAAGTCTCCTCCCGTTTTGTTGGTGCTATTGGCTCTCGCCTGCATTAATTAGGATTATTTTGCATTTATCACTCAAAACCCCCAGACAGACTGCCATATATTATATAACCATGCAGAAATGGAAACCAAGTTTAAAACATAAAAAATAATTAATTATCAAATAATAACTTACAGGGACGATTGAACTGCATTCCAACGAAAGTTTTATCATTTCATCTAAACTGGACTTCAAACAATCAAAACATTTAGTAACTGGATTGAAATAGTAATTAATCTCAAATTATTGTTAACGACTAAGGTTCTATTATTTCTTTTCAATTCAGAAAATATTTTAGACAGTCTATCCAAATATGATTCCGGATCACTGGACGAAATAACTGTATTTATTTTTTTTTATTTGTGCATCCCTAGTGATATTTTTTATTTCCTGCAATCTGATTGGTGCAGCAGCGGGCAGTTTTTTACGATATCTTACGGTGGCCCAAAAGTGTTATTTTTTAGCGACAAACTGAGCAGTGAAAACAATTTTCAAACTCAAAACACTACCCGAAGAGTTTAAAATCCACCCTATCTATACTTAAAGCAGTAAAATACGGTGAGTTGGCTTCAGTGAACTTAGTGCTAAGCCCCAAATGTACTTTTCTCCGACCAAAATGCGAAGAAAAAAACATAAACATCGAAAAAACACTGGCCAGTGCTACATGGTTTGCTTCAAATGTGGAGACATATATTCAGCTATTCTTCGAAAATATACGTATAAATAGTACAACGTAGAACTTGTCCTTAAACATGAAAGTTAAAAAAACCAAGATTAAAGACAATTCCTGGGCTTATTTCGGTCAAGATCGTTTTTATAAAAGTCGTAATGAACAAATTGCTTTTCTGGAATTAAAATTTGTATTTTTCTGTAAAAAAAGCATTTTTCAAGCATGTTCATGCTTCAAAACAAATCGGAAAATAAATATTTTTACTTAGTTTTCCTTCTGTTTTCTTGGTGAGTAGAAAAGCATCTGTTGCAATGAAACCACAAGATTTTTATCCAGCATATTTCGCTTCCGGTACTCCGGTTTTAGCAGTTTGTCAGGCATGCTTGCACTATAAAACTAACAAACGCAACTGATCTCCAATGTACTTCGCAACTGGAATTTTATCCGAATTCATTATAACCATGAACTATCAAATAAAAAAATAAACACGTCTCAGAAGCGTCTCAGAAGCATCTCAGAAGCCTCGGCCTCAGAAGCGTCCCTCGGCCTTCGGCCTCGTGCCGCTTCTGATACCTCGGGACAATATTTTTTTCAGTACGGACCTCGCAGCCGGTAAATAACATATATGTATTTCTCTTATGATCACCAGGAAAAACTGGACCTAGAGGATTTCGGGATGAACCAGGAGCAGCGGAGGGTTCTGGAGGATCTGTCTATACAAGATGGGGTAGGAAGAGCTGTCGCAGAGGGACTACGCTGTTATACGCGGGTGTGTATATAGACGTTTAGGTCAATATATAAATAAACGCTTAGATTTTCATTCCAGTCATTAAATTCTGGGTGATAAAAGTTGTGTGGTAACTTGAGCACCAAAACCGAGGAAAGAATTTAATTAAGGCCGATTCACACTGAGCAACTTTTTGGTTAAAACTGTTGAATTGCGACCTGCTTACAACATGAGCTATATTGCGTACAGTAAATCAAGTTACAACAACGTAGGCCATTTGTGCGCTTTAATTACACATTATTTCATGATTGACTCGGTTTTCTTTGATGTACCGCGGGCTGTATATAGCATAATGCCCTTGAATACCATACAGCCCTAATTAGTCAAGAAATAAGCGAGAAAACTAGAAAAATACTTGTCGAAATCGAAAAAAAACAATAAAACTTTGTTAGAAAACCTCTTCAATCATGAAATAAGTCAGTTAATTACCTCGAATATCGGGCTTTATGCTATATAAAGCCCTCGAACGCTTCGCGTTCTCGGGGCTGTATATAGCATAAAGCCCTCCTTCTCGGTAATTAACTCTTACTTATAACCCAAGTAAACAGGTTGCATGCAGGAGTTCTAGCTAGAGAGCCGGTGTAGTGTAAATCGGCTTTTAAAACATCAAAGAGGAATACATTCATGCGCGAAACATGGAAATGATGCTTTGATTCGTTTCTTCACAATAGTGCTTTTGCTTGCAGGTGTAATGGGTGGCTCGTACTATTCTTACGGTGGTGGTTCAAACTATCTCTGTATGCCACTCGATCCAACATACGATAAGACTGTGAATGGCAACCAAGGTTACTCATATGTATATGGAATTGAATACGAAATGGGTGCACACGCATCTCTTTTCCCGAAGAACCTTCATGACCATGACGCAGTCTGCGCCGTGTGCTTTGCTGAGTCACGTGGAAGTCAGGTGATGATCCCTGCTCGCAACGTTTGTCCAGAGGGTTGGACCCGAGAGTATACCGGTTACTTAATGTCGACACATATTTCGTATAAACGAAGTGAGTTTATTTGTGTAGATGGTGCCCCAGAAGCTAGACAAGGAACTCGAGCAAATTTAAACGGTGGTTTGTTGTATGTGGTTGAAGGTCGTTGTGGTTCTTTGCCGTGTCTTCCATATAAACAAGGTGCTGAATTGACATGCGCAGTTTGCACCAAGTAATCAGCATTCAACATTTTCATGATTTATTCAACTTTGTTTTAATTGACGAAATATACGTATATTAACTTTATTATGTTTTCATTATTCCAGTTTGGCAACTTCTTTTATTCCGGTTTGGCAACTTCTTTTATCAAAATAATGTTGTATTATTATTCAGTTGATTTCTTCTGGTATTTGATTATGTTTGCCCGAAGTGTAAGGTGGCGACAGCACTTTTTTACCTGGGCACTTTTTTCTCTCTTTTACATCAACTGTTGGTCATAATTACAGTTATTATATATATTCAATGTCTATTTTTGTTTGTGATTGGACAAAAAGAATCGGATATATATACTTTAGTTATTTCAGCTGCTGACTCAGTCAGCGTGCAATAATACTTTTTTTGGACCGAAGTTCGGTCCACAATAAGCATTATTACTCATATATTGGCTTTGCCAGCCCAACGATTCGGTCCCGCCATGCAAGTCAACTCTTTATTATTCATTTCTATAGAAATTGATTGTTTTGATAGTTTATACACGTTGCATATTATTGCATAACGAGACTGAAGGGTCGGGCTGGCTACGCAACTGATTGCACACTGTGTACGTGGTTACCAAGCCCCGGCGCGGTCCAGTGTTTGCTAAAATATCGAGAATTATTTGATATACACAAGGTCTGGATATGAGGTCTGCAATCTGATTGGTTCTCTACCAGCAGGATATTAGCTAATATCCTGCTAGTAGAGAAAAATAAAATGGCGGCCAAACTCAATTTACGATGTTTGCGAATGAGAACACGGCAAGTTGCTCGCTGACCCATGTTGCAAGTTGCTCGTGACCCATGTTAAGATGTAGATAAAAATTTCAAAGCCCATCCAATCTTACCAAATTTATTTCATGACCCACCCACCCAATCTAAATTGGGAAAATACACTTTTATAATGAAAACAAAACTTCCAGGTATGAACATATATCAATACAGTGCGGGTGTATATCTTTATTTTTGTATCTGCGAAGCACATTAGTATTAACGTTTATACCCATAGCCATTCAGCGACGAGCTTGTATAAGGGGAGGGTCAACCCAAAAATTGATTGAAAAGTAAAAAAAAAAATTTGTGCTGAAACAGAGGTTTAGACCTTTGTTTAGCTATTGCAGATTGATTTACGTGTATTTTCTAATTTTTTCTGTGTTTTTGAGCAGTTTTTACCAACCGCATGTATATTTCTCTTTCGTTGCCATGGAAACTGAAGAGCATTTTTCTTAAATTTTGGCCGCTCCTTTTTTTAAAAATCTACTGCTTTGTTCAAAATTGAGAAGAAACTACAAGTAAGGCCTGCTGGCTTTGTGTTCAGCGATGTTCAACACAAAAATTGCATTATGGGACACGAAAGCACGCTTTCACGAGCACGCTCACTAATGCCAGTTGATTTCAGAAGAAATTTTCCTAGTTCAGTAAGCTTTTCAATGCGTAATTGTTGGTTAAATGGTCGGGAAAACGAAAAGAAGCGCTAGCGTTTATCGAAAGTCAAGGAAAAGTCGTGGCGTTAGTAATGTATGAAAACAAGAGCGTGAAATGCCAGAATCTTCATCAACTGTTAGCGAAGATGTCGGCCATGTTGGGAACGTTAATACTGTACAATTGCCTATTTAAAAATAATGATGAATCTGCCAGTGATTCTGATGAAATATCGACACCCACAAGTGCTTCAAGAACAAAACTAAGCCAGAATATGCTCAAGAGTGTGCTGAAAGCGAAGGAATAGCCATTTGACCATCCCAATACAGACTTGTTGATAACTGGACAACTGTCATCTGCTATTTCTGACATCCATAGATGTGAACAAGGTAGGCACTGTGACTTGTTATTATTAAATGTCACTGAATTAATTTCAAATCACTTCAGGTTTTTGTAATGTAGGTAACACTGTTAAATATCTTTGTAGCCCATAATAATATTCAGCATGTTTATGTGATAAGCTTTAATTAGTACCATTAGAATAAGCTTTTGTATCCATTAATTATAACACTTCGATATAGGACATTTGAGGCTTGACGAAGGAGAAGATAGAAGACGGGTTAATGTTAATGTCAAGGTTGAGAGTCGAATGCAGCACATGCGACAATGTAGAGGTGTTGGATACATCTACCAGTGTATTACAAAGGGGACTCGACGACTTGCGTTCAGCTCTATTGAAACGGGTGGCGGCTACGGAGGTCTGGCTACACTGTGTACCATTATGAACAACTATGAACATGCCATGTATGTCAAAAACTGCATATTATAAACAATTATATGGACCATTCTCCTAGTCTTAGAAAGAGAATGTCTGAGTGAACTGAAAAGAGTGGGTGAAAAGGGTCCTAAACCTGATTTTTGAGCAACAGCGAAAGAGAAAAAGAGGCGTCAAGGGGAGAACTTATGTTGTACTAGAAGGGAAGAAGCATTGAAAGATGCTGAAGGTACCACATATGAAGCTGGTGCCTTCTAATTACCTTCAGCAAGACTTTGATTTTGAACTTATGTATATAGACCTTACATTTACTCATTGTAAACAATCCCCAAACGTTAAAGCCGTTTTCTCAAAATCGCCCATTTTACCCTTTGAGAAAGGATATCTCTGGAATGATTTAACCAATTGACATGAAATTTTCAGGATTTATGTATCTTACCATTTTCTTGGGAATGAACAGAGGATTTTTTAATATATATTTTCTAACATGATTTATTGCATAAACATGTCAAGCAAATTTTTATGGTATATTTAAAACCTCGTAATCCGCTTAGTTTTCAAAATTTTCAAAACTCCTCTGGTCATTCCCAAGAGAATGGCAAGATACATATATCCTGAAAATTTCATGTCAATTGGTTAAATCATTCCAGAGATATATTTACTTAAGCGCAGTCTATCGCGAAACAGCATGTTGCCGCTTTAACTGCATCGTTGCCAATAGCAATGCAGTTTTGGTGTCCAAAAATATATTTTTTGGAATCTTGAGTTCATTAGCTATCTGATGATATATAGTTTGCCAGAGGTTTATTCTAAAGTGTTCAGTGTGCAGCCTTTGTTCTGTGAGCCTTAGTTTAATTGTAAGTCGTGTTATTCTTTACCATATTTTGGCTTCAAAAATATCTTGATTTTATCTTGAATTGGATGTCTTGTTTTCACCATTCTACTTGTGATATTATTCCAAAGTTATCTATCAACATGGAAACTTATCCTCATCTGGTAAGTATCCAAATACCACATTTTATTATATACATTTATACAGTATAAAACATGCAATCATTGTGTAATATTTAAACAGTCAATAAACTCTGGCTGCAGGCATTATATTGCCAATTAACAATATCACAAGAGCCTAATGTTCTCAGGAGATATTGGATTAAATCCTGGTCCTGTATTTCTGTAACTCTGTTCAAAACAACAGTCCAACTAAGTTGTCATCAAATGTAGTGTTAGAGCAAAGGTAAAGATGTCATCAGTTAAAATTATACTTTATATCCATTTTGGTTTTACACAATAGAGTTAATTATTCAAAATTGTTACAACCATTTTCAAATGCTAATAGAATCCCTCCCCTCCCTCCTCATTACATTGTCATTTTGCTTTCTAATATAAATGTTTTTGTTTAGAGATTAATCATAGCCAGAAATCTGCGACGGCAAGCGGTTCATCTCGCGGACTCACGCAAGCGCCAATATGACGTTGTAAGATGAAGTACCTCGTAAACTCACTCAATGTCTCCGAATTGTTCCTCATAATAGCTTAATACTCTTGTTTTGATAATATTGTGTATATTTTCTTCGAGCCAGGTTCAACATACCAATATTTCCAACAACTTGCAAAGCGATTTCTCATATAAAGATGTAAAAAGAATAAAAACAGCTGGATAGAAATAAAAGGAAAAAATATTGAAAATATGAACTCGACGCGACTCGAACTCAAAGGTTTGTCGACACAGGCCAAACGACCTACCACTAAGCCACCGAGGGAGAACGAAAGTTTATGTCAAGTTAAACACTATAGCTAATTGTCGTGAACAGCAGAATGAATTAGTTTTAAAGATATTTTGTGCTAGCCGTGCGTCTTCAGTTTTATATTTAACGTTTAAAATTATTACGATCTTTAGCTGGAAATGGCACCGCTTCAACGGTTGAATATCTGGTTAAAAAATATATTTTTAGATAGTTTAACGTCTTATCTTTTGAATGTGTCGTTGCGGGAGATTCATCGATGGAGTGATTCTGTCTAAGCAGACCAAGTTTGAACAAAGGTTAGCGTTAAATTGATAAATTATTAAGAATAGTACTGAGGTAACCATCTCAACAAAAGTTGAAAAAGGCACCGTCTAGAATGATCTTATTTTCAAATTTTGTTCGCTATAAATATTCTTCAAGGAGTGTTTTATTGATTTTGACGCTGGGAAAGGTCAGCTTTCGTATGGCAAAGACAGGCAGCTAGAAATTTCAAATTTTTAATACATTTTACACTCATTTCGCGGCCATATTTAGCGCCGCAATAGCGTTTTCTGCGCATACTCGTCGCCATGTTGTATGAGATTTCTGGCTATGTACAAGAATGATGAATACATGTACTGATCTACTGGATATTGGCTGGATAATTTTGTCAGAACAACCCACTTGCAAGACAATCTTACCTAAATTCATCAGTATGGAAAATAACTTAACAGCTACAATAATCATATTTAATATGGATGGATCAGATCAATGGCACACAATGTACAAAACTAAACTTGTGATACCTTCTACTCAAACAGATATTCTCCCACAACACAAATTGTTTTTGTGTGGATATGCTGAGTTAAACCATAAAACCAAACAGTGTGGTATATCATTAACTGTGCACAGGGTTGGAATTGAATTATATACTTCACTCAAGACCTTCAAAACATTCTCTACTATTCAGTGCATGGTCTTCGATATATGATTGACTCTTTGGTACAGTAATGCATGTTTCTCGAATAGTGTGTATGTTATTCAACAGTTAACATTGGCAAGTGTAAACAACAAGTGACAGAACTTTGCTTCATATGATCACAATAAAGTTTTGAAAATTCAATGAGTATGGATTGCCAAGTGACAATTTACTAAATAGCCGGCTGTATAGACACTTATTGTTTGCATGAAATTTTTATTTCCTGACTGCATAATTATCTGTTACAAGCATAATCACATTAGAATTAGGGCGGGGGGGGGGGTAGTTGCCCCTGCAGCCCTCTGTGCAGTGTACAGCCCTGTTAGATTTGTATTGTGTTTGATTTTAAAATCTTATTTGCTATTATATTTATCATAATAAGTGATGAAAGCAGGGAAGCTTGTAAAAGTTAGGGAGGATGACTCCCACTAGGCGCCACCATGGTTGGCGCCGAGGCCCCCTCCCCCTGGCTTCCTACACCCCCTGGATGAAAGTATATGGGTTTTTGTTTGGTGGCCCAACCGTAGACATACAAAATAATTGGCGGCCCATCCAAACTGCCCAAAGATTTTCCATGGCCCATCCCAAATCACTCCGGCCCACCCTAGCAGTTACTTTATGACCGGTCCCTTACAGGATTAAAAACGCAATAAAAAACTCCTACAAATTGTTTCCAGGTGAGCAAATAAATTTTTGAAATTTAAAATAGCTAAAAAATAATATTTTTGAAAAAATAATCGGTCGAAAGAGCGAAGATAAAAAAATAAACAAAATAGAAAAATATTGAAAATATTCAAAAAGCAAAGTCTGTGAAATCAGACCTTGTGTATATATTATAGTTATTCCACTCACTCTCGTCGAGGAGGGGGTGGGGGGGCGATATAGTAAAACAGTTATTCCACTCACTCTCGTCGAGGAGAGGGGCGAGACGGGACATCTACAGAATGGAACCATACCATATACTGACTGTAGAGAGGTGACAGGTGGTTGTTGGTGACAAATAGTTTTGTGTGGTGTAATATATACCCGATGGGAGAACTGGCGGCTCTCCCACAATATGGATGGGGAATGTGAGAGGGAGCTTTGCTGTGCCGGTTATATAATTAAAAAAGACTTTGTCGCTACTTAAACCGACATAATTCTGACGAGGTTTGAGCGATATTGTGGCAGTAATAAGCAAAATCGCTGCGTTGATTGCAAAAAATACAATCATCGATTGTAAATTACAATCATCAAATGGATTACAATTCACATAACAATGTGCAATCTCATTTTTGGCCGTAAATAACCATGTAGACTTAAAAGTGTAGTGCAGTTGTTCAAGTAATGGAGCCTTAATTTTAAAAGTAATTTGTAAAAAATTCAAATTATTTGAAGTCTAATGGAAGTGGTCAAATTCATTTACAAAATATTAATGACTGAGGGTTTAGGTATTATTTCATTTCATTTGCAGTGAGTGAAATTATTATCCCATGCGAGTGCTTCCATGCAGTTTAAGTGCAGTTCTAATATTATTATGAAAAATCTGAAAATGATGTACTGCCACTTCCTAAAACTAACTTGTCAACACTTGCATTAGCACATATTACTGGGTCATAGTGAGGAACGTCATTTTCAACATAAAATGAAAGGCAGCTCATTTTGAACACTGATATACCCAGGGGCGGCGGTGGAACACCCCCCCCCCCCACTCGTCAGCTAATCGGCAAATTGTTATCTCAGTCGGCAAAACTGGATTGGCTAAAGATAACCACTGAAGAAACCAAAATTGACCTCCTGAATAATTGAATTCAAACCGAATATCACGAATAGCATGCATCAAAGAAACCACACATGCAGCAATGCAAATTTTTTACGGTGTAAAGTTTAAAAACTGACGGGTATTGTGTATTGTGTATATACGTTAGATGTTTGAAGATCAAATTTCGCGCGTCTGGAGTTAAAATTTGGCTCCAACTTTCGAATTTTCCGGCTGGAGGTAACCTTCCAGTTATATTCCGATTTCAATGATTCGTAAATTAAATGCGTGATTAATAGTGCTCCAAGACGTGGAACAGATTTTAAGAAATGCCGAGATTTTGACTTTTCGAGGGCTGCAAAATGGATGCCGACAGGAATTTTGGGTTTTCTGATTATGCGTGTCTCAGAATGATGCAAATGCCATTTCCGGGATTCAAATTTAAAAATTTTCCGTGCCTTCGGCACGAGTCCCCCACGCACAATAGTTCATAAAATGTCCGCCACTTGCACACACGGTGGCTTAAAAGGTCTTTAAACTGTTTATTCTACCGATAAATAAAGGTTTTTTTATTGACTGGGATTTCAATAACTCGGACTGGGATTTCTAATAAAAATCCAACTGGGACTGGGATTTTGCCAAAATTGCAGGTGGAGAATGGGATTGGGACCTCCCCCCCCCCCCTTCAAGACCCTCACTATAGGCTAATGACTCGGCAAAATTACCAAACAACAGTCGGCAAAAGATCACTCACACCCCCCCACTCGAAGAGGGTTAGCGCCGCCCCTGTATATACCTTAACTCATCTGGAATATCATACTCTGCTAAACTTTGGATGACATCTAGAGTAATTTCTATATTTATAATTTTAAAAAACGGATTGTTTGTTTTTAAACATAACACAGCCTCAAGAATTTTGTGTCGGCATACAGTAAAATCTCATCAGCAATATGTAAGGTGGCTCCCTGGAGTTTTTGAATTTTCTACACCATGGTATTCAGGACACTCCTGTTTTTTCACTTTACATGCATGACATGAAAACGAAATTTATTGGACACATTCACAATGCTCTCCTGAACATTGCAATTTGCTACTTTTGTGTTAAAAGTTTGTTGCCATGACAACAGCATGCTTAGAATAAAGCTCAAAATTTGTCTTTTACAGGCCACTTTAAAAATTGCCTTCGGTTAATTTTTTTAAGACTTTGCATAAAAAAATAATACTTGTATAATGATTTTTTTTCTGAATTTAAAAAAATTATATCGATACGTTTCCTAGAAAATTTAAAATATGTCAAAAATCAATATTAAAAGTTTTTTCTTCGATTTGATTTTAAGAAAAAAAAAATATTGCACTTGTCGTGCCGATATTAAAAAATGTACAAAGTTTTAAAACATTTTACCGAAGGAAAACGGAGAAATCTTGGTTTAATTTTGACAATTTTTACTAGATTTTGACGCGAACAATTTCATACCCCCACTGACGAGTACAAGCATTTTGTACAAAACAACAAAGCATGAATTTTTGAAATCACAAAATATAAATTATGTTTGATACACTGTTTATAACTATGTCGGTTAATGGTCAACTAAGCGTGGATTTTACAGGTACATGTAAAATTGGCAAAGATATTTAGCTAATTACTGGTTAAGACTTCTTGGACTTGGTATTAATTTGAAAGTGTTTGTCAAATTTTGTCCCGTGCGAGTTTATAATTATTGTACTATTGTCGGGTGTTTTCGCAAAATGCCCGTTCAAATTTCAGTTTTTATAGTGGTATGTTTGGATTTTCGGCCCCGCTCATTTCACGTGTAGGAGCCCATTATTTAAGTCATTTTTATTGTCATAAGTGCTGCTAGATTGTGGAGAAAGCACTGCAAATTCTTGAGGAAACTTTTCATCATATCCCAATGTTCGCGATCGAACCTCACATACGGCATTTTGCATGCCCCTTTTACACCGGTAACAAGCCAAGCTTATCTACAAATCGATGCTCTAAATGTTCTTGATTGGATAGACGGAATATTTGATCTTCAATCATGTATTTTATAGCTAAACTTTGCAATTTTTTTCTTGAATATAATACCAAGTGGCATTTTCCCTGCTATACACAAAAACATTTTATTTATAGACATTTAGTTTAGTACAAATTTTCGTTAAACTAGACTTGTATATCTATTTCCCAAACTCAATACTCAATATAGATTAAATAAGGATAATTAAGAGTGCAATATAATTCCTTTATTAAGACGATCAAATACATAAATTTCTGAGCAAACTTACCTTAGATTTTGCAATTTCCAACATTTCTTGCCAATGATCGTTTGTATCAACAATTCCACGATTATTCCAGTTTCTCGTTGATGTCATTTTTTAAAATCCCACTCATTCCATTGATCCATTCCTGAAAATCGCCATATTTCTGAGATCAGTGGGAGGTTTACATATGAATTTATATGAAACATGGGTAGTAATGCGCCCGCGATTATTGATGAAGTGAACTTTAGATTTTGCTACAACAGAGGGGATTTTCGTCGACGCTGCATGAAAATAGTGCGGGCTCGTGATGTTTTTCTCGCAAAGTTTGCTTTTTAATTGTTCTTTTGCTTACAATTTCTAAGGATGTTGAAGTTTACAGCACTGTGATTCACTGGTTTTGTAAAGAATCGGGGTTTTTTTCCTTGAAACTTGCAGGCTAACTCTTCAGCAACCTAATGACTACCAGGTGACCTCGTGTTCGTATTTTAGTCAATCAGCGCTCAGAAAGGGTTGTCCGAATAGAAATCCATTTTGATGTATTCAGTCAATTATATCTTTCGTTATTCTTTATGAAACTAGTTGAAATTTTGTAATTATGTTTAGTTACGAGAACTATGGCTCTGACAAAAGTATGGAATCGAAATAAAGTATATTACAGGAGATATTCAGTTGTTTTAATCATAAAATGGATTTCTATTTGACAACTAGTGCCAGTACTTTTCCGCGTATCAAGATCATCTGGTGTGTTAAAACAAAGCAATTGAAAGGAAAACTTATATTTTCATACGCAGAAGATGAGCGGCGATATTTATGTTGGACTGCAGTTTTGAGCAGATGCTTCGAAGAACATGATATAATCGGATCTTGTATCTTAAAAGTGTACTTGGAACAGCCGAACAAAGTTTTAAATGTTGTTATATACCCGGTGTGTTGGGCTCTACCGCCATGTGACCTGTAGCTTAATGTGGCACGCGTTTTGAAAGGGCTTTACTTGACTTTAATCGACGTGTAGGGTATAACTTAGGTAAGCCAACATTTCTTTGTAATGCAAGCTACTTTTACATATCTTCAATGTGTAAATGAAAATGCATGTCAATTAGCTATAAGTCGATTAACACAAAATAAAAAATCTGATGAAGCCTTGACCGGCGAAACGTCTGGAAACGGAACGCTACTGAACTGCAAATACGTGTGGGAAATGAAAAGTATGGATATATTAAATACCGTAAAATCTCGAAAGTAAGCGCCCTGCTTACTTTTGAAATTAGTGACCTCAAGGGGCGCTTACTTTTGAGGGGCCGCTACTTTCGAAGGGCGCCTTCTTTCGAGTTGCTATTTTCAGCATCGGCCATTTTTAAATCCATGCTATAGAGTATATATGGTATACATATGGATTAGAGAGTTTCTTTAATTTAAGAACTTTTACTTAGATATGACCGGTATCTAACACTAATACCGTAAAGTCTCGAAAGTAAGCGCCCTGCTTAATTTCGAAATTAGTGGCCTCAAGGGGCGCTTACTGTCGAAGAGCGCTTACTTTCCAGATTCTCTAGCAAGTGTTGAAAAAGGCGCTTACTTTCGAGGGGCGCTTACTTTCGAGGGGGCGCTTACTTTCGAGACTTTACGGTATATACCCCCACCATTTCCCTAGGTTTGGGGGGGGGGTTACAATTGACATGTGCATTACATGTTTTCATTAATTAATCGAAGGTTCATCTGAAATATTTTTTATTTCTTTTCTTAATGCATTTGAACTCTTCTGTTTGGCTTTACACTCATTTATCACATCCTTTGCAAAACTGTATGATCTCACTTTGATGTACAGTAATAAGACTTAGTGTAAAATGTCTTTGGACACATCTTTAGATACTTTTAAAATCAGCAGACCTTGCCAACTCCTGGAAAAGACTGTCTACCTTAGGACCTTTTTCCAGATTATCAACAATGTCTGTTTTTGATATCTTTGTGATAGGTTCCTCAAACTCAGTTATGACAATTTTAAAGTTAATTCCTGCTATTATAGTAAAAATTTGTTATACAGTTGTCAGTTCCGACAGTTCGGTTTATTTTCCAGAGTCCCCCTCTCTGTGCTGTTTCACAACCGTTGCTTTCTTCCAGCTTGGAGTACAGCCAGTATTTGCTGCTTGGAATTTGTCATCCAATCTTTTGACTTTCAAATATGTTATTGTAGAGTACATAGAACATATTCACCGAGGTATTGCCATGCTGCATTTTCCCTCTCATTCAACATATTTACAATAGATTTATGTTCTGATAATACTAAAAACATAAACCTTGAAACTTTCCCTAACACTTTTTGAATAGCAAGTATTTTTCTCTAAACTCTTACAACTTTGATTTACCAGGTTAAAATAATCATCAATGTTGAATATACAAGTATGTCATTGTTGTCGGCGTCGCGTATTTTAATAATACTGTCAGAACTCAGTATTTCCTTTGTCTCACATGCTTCGCATTTTTATGCCTCGTCAAACTAGCTTTACTTTTGCACTTTTACCCACAAAAATTGCAACAAAATTCGCCGTCCGTCATCTGAAAATACCTAGAAAAAGCATCAAAATATAAATATATCCCATTTGAACCTGGCAAGAGTGCAGAAATATGTTGCACAAAATATTGACTAAGTATGTTCGACATTTCAGTCAAGACGGTGTCAACTTACTTCTTCGATCGCTTCTTCGAAAGCGTGTTGTAGTTCTTCTTCACTGGCTAAAGCATCAGAGTGCAGCGGCTCTAAAACCGCGTCGATCTCATTCTCGCATGACTCTTTATATTCCGCCATCTTTATTTGTGTGCACGGTGTAGTACCACGTGACACCCTAAATTTGCTTGGCGCAACATATATGCGCGGCATCATTTGAAGAACAGGAAATCTCTAGACCATCTCCTTGAGTGACTATGTGCCCACCAATTTTCATTCTTTAGGTCAAATATTTGAGACCTAAACTTGTTTATCTTTTCAGTTTTACTACAGAAGGAAACCAAAGTATTAAAGGCATTCCTAACACTCCTTGTAAAAGAAATCTTTTCATTCTTTTCACATGCGACTTATGCGAAATTTGCAATCTCAAAGCTATATTTATTGCAAGGATAATTAAGCTGAGAATCTTGATGGAGATTGAGCCCTTCTTTATACACTTATTGCTGCCGAAGGCAGCACACTATTCTTGACGATGTGTTTTTCTCGCACCAGTCCGTTTCCGGTTCGCGAGTTATTTGGATCCAACAAGTCATTTTTAGGATGTTTGTACGGATGATCAGATTTATGACGTATTTTGACGTCACAGAAATTTTACTGTAAAAATAACATACTCCAGATCGCGAATGACTTTCCGAATACCCTGGTTGAATCTCGCGAACACCACCATGGACCATGACAATTTGTAAACACGTTTACATGTTGGCATAGTGTCGTCGCAAATTTCATGTCTGGACTCTGGCTAGCTGTTTGTCGAATTATTTTTCAAGGTAAGATGAAAGTTTGATCACAAATAACAATGTGCTCTGGTCCATAGGCGTTGAAACTTGAAGCGAATGAATTAACTGTATTTAAATTATTAAATTTTTAGGTGCATACAAGTCTTCATATAAACAAGTGCAGCTCGTCGATGGTCAGTTTGTAAAAAATCTGATTGAACTTGAACATAGCTTAATAGAACATCGTACTTCAAAGTATAAATAATCACAGTGATAGTTTATTATTACCTCCGCCAGGAGGTTATGTAATCATCTGGGTTTGTATGTGTGTGTGTATGTGTGTGTGTGTGTGTGTATGTGTGTGTGTGTATGTGTGTGTGTGTGTATGTGTGTGTGTTTGTCTGTGAGCACGATAACTCAAGAAATACCAAACATATTCATACGAAATTTTTTGAATGCATTTCCCTTCGGCTACGGAAGAACTGATTAAAATTTGGTTGAATTTGGTTAAAAATTGAACGAGAAATGAACAAAACATTTTCTTGCTTTTCCCGGTCAATTAAAAAAAACTCACTGAATGCGTAATTAGGACGTGTATAATGTATGCACGCAGTACTAAGCCTCATTAAGCTCCAGCCTTCATTATCTATTGTCTTAGTTGCATTTCACACGACCGAAATTCAATGGGGGCGGAGGTATGCAGTCTCTGAGTGCCCTCTAGTTAATATTGTTATTAGGCCAATGAAAATTGGCAGAATTGAAAATTGGCAAATTATTTTCATGTCAGCCCTGGGAACGAGAATGATTTTGACACGTGATCATTCTCTTCCGGTTTGCTTCTGTCTTGCGAAATAATCTGTTCCGCCAGAAATGGAGTCCAACATGGCTGCCAAGCATGCGCATTTTGACTCAAAATAAAAATTCAAAATGGCGTCTTCTTATATAATTTGAATAGGAATAACTGAAGCAAAATTTGTATTTTTGATAACTTACGGTTGAGAAATCCAAAATGTGCATATCTAAAACTTCACCGATTCTGTCCAACTTTTATCCGTAAAAAAATTGGTACCACTCGAGTTAGTCTAAGTATGTTCCCGAGCAATCAATATCTCTGCCTAGTCTCTGCATAGGAAAGTATGTGATTTCGACATATTCGGTATTTTGCAGGTCCAATTTCAACTTGTTCTTTACAGATATCGTCAAATGTGCATATCTGAATTGCTTCGTACAGTATTCCTCTTTATTATTGTCATTTGTATGAAGCGTAAAAGTATACACTAGTATGTTCCCCAAAGCGATGAATTGCATGTATTTTGTAGAGACGTGTCTGTCCAATTGTGATGAGAAATGCACCATATTTTGAACAAAAATATCACAAATTTCGCACCAAGAGTTATATTTGTTGTCCGCCATTGCTTTTATAAAGCTGTTGCTACGTTACAATGGTTTTAACCGCTGTCAATATAGGCTGTAGTCTCGTAAACATTCTAAAATTCGCGGGATTTCGTAATAATTTTGATTTGCCGACTTCAAAACATTTATAACTATTGAGTATTGGAAGACTTTTGAAATTTGAGCATTGATCAAGACTCGGTTGGCGTAAAGTTTGTTATATTTTATAATTTTGCTGGTTTTCTATATATCTGGTTGTATTTGCAATGTCGGATATATTCCGCCTTTGCGCCCTATGTATACTTGTTTGCAATGGAAATTATGTGTTGAAAGCCATTCATTAGCTTATCTCTTCTTATTTTCAATTTATAAATCTGCCGTGCTCAGATTATTTAATTTAGTTCTCGGTAAAACTCACTGAGCTATACTAGTAAAAATAAACAGCCATTTTGCCAAAACTGAAACACGGATCTGTATAGTGCATTGAATTATCAAGAAAACATGAGCCGCACGCCCGACCGCTTGATGTCCTCCATTTCTGGCCATGGCGTGGTTTTACTGCTTTTTTGAAAAGATAAATCATGAACATTCATGTTTTATAATGATGACTTATGTGTAGAAATATACTGTAGTGTAGGACCTATTAAATTAAAATGAATTATACACCGATTTACTTCAGAATTCAAATACAAAAATAATGAAAAATGAAAAATAAAAAAATCCCGCTCCAAATTTTTGAAAATTGTGGACGAGAAACATGATATCAACTTTCATTGGCCTTATGGGAATATCAATTGAGCAGTATCGTGCCCGCATTGGAACACACAATTGTATACGAATGAAAAATTATAAACTCATTGACTTGTACAAAGATATTGCTTAGCAACCCAGTGCGGAAATTTTATACCAGCAGTTAATACATGTAATAACATGTCAACCGACTTTTGTAAACGATATAATGGTCTGTAAGAATATATCTCTGAGATATGTCCATTGTTAGCATAATATATAGGAAATATTCCTACCGGCCCACATTTTATATATTCACCTGGCTGTGTCACTACAGTTCAGGGTATACTATATTCTTGGTAACGCTTCCAATTTCTTGTATTATATAGTTTTGCAGTTCTGACTGAGTACAATCTTAAACATTACAAATCAATGGTGTCGCCGCCATGCAGAAGCTGACGAATGAAATAAAACTGTCAACAATTAGATTTTGTCTCCCCATCAGGTGTGAGCAGATTGTTCAGTTGTTTTGCAATAGGGGTAGCCGTGAAGGTGCCATTAAAACGATAATTGGGACAAAAACTGACTTAATATTTCTATTTATTATTCATTGCACTGTGTTCTCGGTTTTTCATTGGCTATGATTTTACCAAAAAAAATTGGGTATTTGTAGGTGCCTGTGCTATTTCCAGCGGAAACAATAATCTGCAGAGGTTATTGGACGGCGACCGAGATATTTCAGCGGTATGTTATGTGAAAATACAAATTGGCGGGAAATTTTCAGTTGAATTTACGAAAAGTTAATCAATTCAATGAATATTATTTTATTTGTTTTCAATTGTTGCTTGTTTTGTTTTCTTTCCGTCACAAAATGAATAATAAAACAATTATTGAATTCGGATTGCGCAGGATACCAGAATTATTCAGACCTTGGTCAATGTTATCTGCCGAATTCCTGCTGGATATCCTGCTCAGCCCCATCCAATAATTGTTAAATATATGAAACTGTTATAATTAAATTCTACATGTCCAATGATTCATTCAAGTATTACTAGAAAATACATGCATGCAGAAACCCTCGTCTTGCTGACAAAACCATTGTATTTTCCGAACATCAAGTATCTAAGTTGTCATGGTAACACGATATTTTTTTAAGAATATTCTTACAAATAAAAAATCGCCTATAAATATCACTTTTATTCACAAAATTATTAATTTCCCAACATATATCTGTTAGGTATGTTATTATACGTAATATAAGCCTCGATTTAAGGTAAAATTCAACCACAAACGCTTCCCAAAGCGTTTTAAAGTCATTCGAGTGTTCTTTAATATAAATCTAAACTGCCTTCCAAAATGGCTTTATCGATAAACTTTGAGTTTGCAATAAAATGATCTAACATTCTCGCTTGCAAATACATTTGCTTTCTTATTTATTAAAAAAAATTCAATATATTAAAAAAGGGAATCAATACTAAAGATACACTGAAATTATATGCTGTCTTGTTTAGTTGTTTCATATACGCAAAGGCCGTCGGGTTTTAAATCCATTATAAAATCAATATTTAAAACAAAGTTACCTTCGTTAACGTCGGTTCCCTTCTTTTCGCCGATTCTTTCGCAGTTCCATTCTCAGAGAGCTTTTTAAATTTACAAAATCTTGTAAAAATGCGAGCAAAAATGAAATATATTTGCAAGAAATTTATCAATCATCAAATCAACTCAAGAAATGTTTGCTATTTCGCTGTCGTCATGCAGTCGTTATAATGCTAACTTTAAATATTCGTGACAATCCACCATATTTTTGAGATCAGTGAGGATGACCACCCACCCAACACCGTTGGTGACCCACGCCCGCGATATTTGATGAACTTTAGACTCCGCTAATGCTTTCGTTTCCCCGGGTGTAAATAGCCGGGGGGAATTAGTACCCTCGCACGGCGCTTCGCGCCGTCGGCTCGGGGATCATTTATATATAATATGATAATATGATATTCAGTGGCAAGCTTGCTATGGCAACTGGTCATGCCAGACCAATAAAGCTGCATCTATTTGACTAATGCAAATTATTAAAAACTTGCATAGCATGATCTGTTGCAATGACTAGCTTCACCACTGACAGTATTATCCCCGAGCCGCGGAGCGAAGCGCTGTGCGAGGGTGCTAATTCCCCCCGGCTATTTACACCCGGGGAAACGAAAGCATTGGCGGAGTCTAAAGTTCATCAAATATCGCGGGCGTGGG